AGAAACCCATCTGAAAAAAACTATGGGTGGTTTATGGAAAGCTATGGTAACCGATATCTAATAGATGGATTATCCAATATAATTTTCCGATATCCAATGATTAGTTTAGATATCCAACTGATATCAATCATTATCTAGGATATCTGCATATCTACATATGGAGGTTTACATAAATGGGGGTACCCCTTTCTATCATCCTAATTTTAGATTGGGATTTTCCCTGAAATAAACCATCCAGCTATTCGAGTACCTCCATTGAACCCCCCATATGACTGGGGGGATTACCAACCATTCACCAGCAAAAAAAGATGGTGTTTACCAAGGTACCAGGCTTTTGAACCATAACCAGATGTGAACATACCATGTTAATCACAACTCGAGACTCGCTGATGATATATCATGTTATATCATGGTAATTATATCTCAAGTGGGGTGATCCCCAACATCCATTGCTTCATCCACATTCTCCTACTAATGGCGCCGTGTCTTGAAATGGGCTGATCCCCAAAACCTTGGTAATTGGTTGTTTCAATACCAAACTGGTGTACATGTGTGTGACGATGTGTGAGGAAATATCATATATGTTACAGATTGATAAACTTAAATGCCTTTTTGACATAATACGTAAATTTACGTATGATGCATCATCTATTGGGGATTTATGAACAATCTGTAACATTTATGGTCTATTGGGGATATTGGGGATATGTTGACTAACAGCAATGGTGCCATTCCCATGGGGATTGTTGGTCAACAACTCTATTGGATCCCCATGGGAATGTGATCAGAAATGGGGATCTCAACTGCAGATCCCACGCTGCCTGCCACCATTCTTCTTCTGGGCCGGCGGTCAAAACATGGATCAAAACAGTGGGGCGACAATCACTCTGATCAGGTCCAAAAACTGGTATGCACGTTTTAAACATGTATAGTATAGTATATTATATATATATATTCTATTATGTCATTATATACTCTTATATGGTATAGAATTATGGAGGGGGGGTACCCCAAATCATGCAAGTCATTGAAACCCATAGTTTTGTGGGCCATCCTCTGCCACAAAAGTGAATATCACCATGTCATTCACTGGGTATCCCAACTCGCTTGCTGTGGTACCATTTGGGCTGTGAAAATGACCATCAAAGTAGTAGGGACAGTGGTAACCATCAACATTTGGTAGCCATAGTTTGAGACAAACCTATTCATCTCAGAAGTCCATGAAAGAGCTATTATATATAAGCCAATGGATATATAAAATTATATAAACACATCACCATAGTGACCATCCTATCATCACATGAGTTGATGGAAAGTTTCTTATCGGTGGATGCACATCGCAGGTCCCAATTGAGTCTGTGCAGGTCCCCAACAAATGAGGTTGGTGAATCCATGTGAATCCCCAATTGTGTAGGTAAAATTCCCATGACTCAAAGAATCGGAATATATTATATATATATGTATAATTATATATATATAAACAATCACTTCGCGCACTTGAAATGAGGCCATCACTAATGTCATTTAAGGATATTTAAGGATAGTTAACGCAATCCTTACTGATCATCTTCCGAAACGTCGTGCCGTCGTGCTCCAGCGCTGAGGGGCCGACCAGCTCAGGATCCCGGTCAGGGTCCAAGTCCTGGAGCCGGCTCCGAAAAAAGCACTGCAGAGTCCCCGCGCTGCCATAGCTTTGTAAACATGATATATAATGATATGTTAATGATATAATAATGGATATTTTAATGATATATTTTGATAAATATATATACATTACTTAATGATATATAATTGTAATCATTGAGTAAATGTTAATGATATAATAATGGATATTTGATGATAATTTGATGATAGATATGATAGCTGTCAGATGATATTGATGAATATTTATGGATCACCCGAATACCCTTAGTCAATTTTAATGATATGTATAACCATAAATCATGAATATTTATGAATATCTATGGATATTTGATGATAATAATAGCCATATTATAATATGATGCTGTATTTTAAGATGATCATAACATTATGGGTCAATTATACTATTTCACTAACCTGAAACTATGCTATTTTGGGATGTGTTGGGGTAGTTAGCCCTTACTAAACATCATTCCAGTGACGTCGCAGTGAGGTCGTTAGTTAATTTATCCAGATAATATCTATCACCATAAATCATGGATAAAAAAACACAATGGTTGCTACATAACACACAACATCCGTAACATGATGTAACATGTGTGTGTAATGGACAACCTGTTGCATAGTGAAATGTGTTTGGAGGATTACCATCCTCATGGGGATGGCTCTATCCCAGTGTATACCAGGCTTAGAAAACACGTCTTTTTTCAGAGTAAAAAGTGGTTCTCAACCATCCCGCAGTGTTTTTTTCGAAAACCTACAGTTTAACCATCTTTATTTGACAGTAACAAAAGCACCCTGGTTTCCTCTAGAAAAAAAAACTTAACAACACCCAGAAAAACCTAAACTCAGTGACATCAGCATCGATCCGACCTGGTCTTCACTCTTCTCGCCACTCTTTAAGCCAGTCTGGCAGCGCCGGTACCACTTGTTTCTCCGAATGGGTCATGGGAAGCCCTGAGACGTGGAATCCATTGGGTGATGAAACCACCTTGAGCCACATACCTCTAGGGGTGCTCTCCAAGTCATATTGGGTTCTGGGTTCTCAATCTTTGAACACATCACCATGATTCTGATTGGCGGCAAATCATGGATTTCACACTTTGACCACCAAGTATGAAGTTGGTTGGTCAAGTAGCGCCTCTTCATATTTTGATGGCCAAAAACCCAACCCTGTTCCTTGGTTACTTGGGAGTGGCTGATGGCAACTCTGCCCGACCTCCTCATCAGTGCTTGCCATTCCGAGCACCTTGAGCCCAGGAAGCCCAGGAAGCCCAGGAATCAGATCGGAATCCCTTGAAGGAACAAACATCATGAGGTTTTACGCATCAGAAAACATGGTGATGCAAGTGATAGGTAAAACATATATATATATCTATATATATTCTTGTTATTATAATTACTATTACTATTATTATTATTATTATCATTTATATATATATATATTATATTTAGAATTATATTGATACATTATTCTTGGTTTAGGAGACTAAGGGTGACAAAGGAGAAATCTGACGAAAAACGGTGAAAAGGAATGCTCCCATCTTCGGAGTGTCAACAGTGTCATCGGTCATGGTAGAACAACCTACCAGCAAACATGGGGATACTCACACCAAAATCGGGATACCCTCTGGTAAACTAACATAACTATGGAAAATCACCATTTTTAATGGGTAAATCCTCTATTTCTATGGCCATTTTCAATAGCAAACTGTTACTTTTCCAGAGGGTACCTGTGACCTACCATGGGGATACCATGCAAAACACAGCAACGCGGGATGGATCGATATTTGATGATCAATGCATGGTTTCCTGTGTTTGTTTCTACATCCATTGGGATTGGTCCAACTGACTGATTCTGCTCTTAGTGGCAAGGATTGAATCTTGGAACTCCTGATTCATTGTGATAGCTTCGAGTAATTATAGGAACGCCATCGAGTTTTTTTGTGCGGTTACCCATGCCTATGCTTGGAATCCGTAACGAACATTTGCCAAACACTGCAGATTTGCATGATGATCAGTAAATATGCGGCACCAGGCCAACTTGGGCATGGTCGGTCACATTTGGCTGGAAGATCCCAGAAAATCGATGATTTTCGCAGCCATGTTTGATGACACCGGAGGCCACGCATTTCACCATCTAAGCAGTCGGTTGCTCCAGCGATGAGATATTCAAGGCAGCATGGCTTAAGATTCGGTACACAACATGATTGGGAATGGTATGGAATAGTATGGAATACATTGGAATACTAGTCATGATCAACAGAGATTAGGAATACTAGTCAGTAAAAATTGAACACATAGATTAAGTACCAATCATACCATTCCAAAAAGATTTAGACAATCTATGAAGATTTGAAACCCAAAGTGGGAATGGTATGGAGTGGTTCATGTAGTGTAACACGACGACTCGCCAAAGTATGCCAAAATCAGTAGGGGAGAGAATTCAATTTTGAACCGTTCCCGGCATATCTTCGGTAAACCATCGTCCCTCCTACACCAGTTGGTCATTTAATTTGAGCCGACCCGTGTCCCACTCGCATCACTGGGGTCCGGACAGTTGGCTCTGCAATCACTGTCTCAACAAATTGGGACCAATGAAATTGGGATGAGTGGACGCTGCTGGAAACCGCAGCCCAAAGAGCGGCAGTATAGTTCGGCATTTGCAGTTGGGCGACATGGAATTCGGAATCAACACATGAACGATCAACTGGCTTGCGATTTCCGCCTATCCCCAAAAATAATCAAGCATATACTTATTAGTCGATTATCATCCCCAAAATGACTGAACGTGAACGAATCTTACGAATCTTCGAAGCCACCGATAAAAAGGAACGCCACTGTTGTTATCTATGTTGTATTCCATGTTGAATGCTTGAAAGCCGCAGCACCTCAACGGATGAACTGAGCAAAATGATGTTGGAGCCTAGATTTCAAATCCTTTTTGGCCTAGCTTGCATCTCAATTCCGGCCTTTGTCAAGGCGGGAATGTCTTAGACAGTCCACCTTGAAACGCGCCCCGTTTCTGCTAACTACCATTGAAGTCTTGCCTACCTATTTGGGTCTTTTGCAAATGGAGTAGCACCTCACGAAATCATTGCCTCATTGATTAAATTAAACATCTCGAGAAGACCCCTCTTTGGACACCAACCCACTTGGTGCTAAGCACACCAAAAAAATCAGCGCATCCTTGCAACCCGCCACTGCGGAAGGGTGCCAGTGTTTCTTGAAGCGAAGCAACAAATAAAACAACCGACAAGACAAATATATAATTTGATTCTAAAACCCGCCAATAAATAACTAAAACGCCAATCGTTCCAAAAAAACAACATAAACACAACTAACTCAACAATCAGATAACTTATACTTAGGATACTTTCGGCCATCTTAAAAACAGCTCGCCTGACGCCGCATCTGGCGCTCACAGGTCAGGTTTGCGCTGTGTGGGATTCATCACCTTCACGACTGAGCGGCCCCAGGCCTGACAGCTGGCAAACAAAAAAGGGTGTTTAGAGCTGGGAAAAATACTATACCAAACATATTTTGAGATTTTTGAGATGATTTTTGGGCAATCTATAGCTAATCTATAACTTTGTTTTTCCATTGCCAAAAAAACATATTACAGATCTAAAAAACGTGATCTACTACTGTATATATACTTATCATACCTAAGAAGATGTGTTGATGATAATCACACGAATGATGATAGCACTAGTGATAGCTGTATAATGAGACATGGGATTCTTTGATAAAGCTGCTGTTTTTTTCCGGCAATTCATTTGGTGAAAGTCTGGGGACCAGTCCAGTTTGGCTACTTTATAATCCATGGAATACTTACACCTATAAAACATGTTAAGACAAACAACACGTGACAAACATTGTGAGTACAAGAGATGTCACCACTGATTTTGGTCGATGATTCATACTATCAACAGCCACGTGATGCATTTTCGTTAAAACCAATGGCCCAAGGGCATGGTTGAGAGATATGAAACATTATATACATCCCTTAGACTGTCCACACATATTATGTTTTAATTATACATTCTTATGATATATTATGTGGCATAGATGTTTTTTGACTGTGACAAGGACGCCAGTTACGCCCTATGACAAACACTATCTTTGGAACGTCTGGGAAGATAACCGAGGCACACCAAGACCCAAATTACCGGATGTGCAACTTGAGTTTCTCCAATCTTGACTATTGGGCTTCAGCCATCTTACGCCATTCTATACAACACAGTTTCACACAGCATTTCCGTTAACTATCATGTGGTTAGGAAACTCAATTCATAGCTCCTGGCTCCGCAACGCGGGGAATGTGGTGCCATAACCAGAATCTAATCACCGCTTCCTCCATTCAGCCCGGGATCAGAAACCCCCACTGGGCCATCCCAACATCCTTGGTAAAAACCACCTTATCTCGATGGAAGGTCCGACCTTGGCCGGCGGGATATCCAGCTGCTGGTGTTGCTGATGTTCAATCCTATAATTAGCTGCAAAAAAAATGTAGAAACATATAACTTACCACCGATTTGGACGCATTTTAACTATCATTTATCGATACCACTGCATGTTCATCCCAAAAAAATTGGGAGCTCCCAACTTTCGCCAATCCCCCGTTCCGAGACAGCACTGTGCCACTTGGACGTCCAGCGTTCAAAGTCCACGGGGAAGACCCGGGTCTTCTCATCATCCGTCGGCTTCGAGGTATCAACGGCTTCCTCCTGCACCACCACCTTTACCTTCTTTTCAGGCTTCTGCTCAATCACCTCATGGGGTGAACAGTGGGTGGAGGTAGATGAATCTATCAGGGGGGAAACGTCTCTGGTGAATCAGAAACAAAAAAACCCAACAAAACATGGCCATACAATGGAGGTAGGCAAAACCCATTTTGAGACGCCCTTGCTGCAATGTTTCTGAAATTGAGAGTTGAGAACCTGCAAAGGTGTAAAAAATACCCTCTGGTAATTTATAACAGTTTGCTATTGAAAATGGCCCATAGAAATAGTGAGTTTTCCCATTAAAAAATTTGATTTTCCATAGTTTTTTGTAAATGTTTACCAGAGGGTAACAGTAAAAACCAGCAAAGTCCCCAACAAAAATCCGCAGCACCTTGGCCTAGGGATCATACCCCCAAGATTTTGGTGATATCTCCCATGAAATATCCCCGTGACATCCCACGAAATCCTCTGAAATCAACATGAAAACCAATTCAATCCGATTTACATCATTTCAAAATCCATTTCAAAATCCATTAGATCCCATTAAATCCCCAGTAAAATCCCAATCAATTCCCATGAAATTCCCAATCAATGCCATTAAATCCTACTGAACATCCCATGACATGCGCCATCTCCAGGGCACGACGTTGGGCGTCCCGGGACGATGCTGAGACGTCTCCTCGTCTTTGAAAATTTCGATCACCTGCCAGGTCGATGTCCGAGTAGGTTGGCCCAGGTGGGCTACCAATTCTCCATATCTATCTATCTATCTATCTATCCATCTATCTAACTATCTATCTATCAACCTATGTATCTATCTATTTATCTATCTATGTATCTAGCTATCTAGCTAGCTATCTATCTATCTATCCATCTATCTATCTATCTATCTATCTATTTATCTATCTATCTATCAACCTATGTATCTATCTATTTGTCTATCTATGTATCTAGCTATCTATCTATCTATCTATCTATTTATCAATCAACCTATTTATCTATCTATTTATCTATCTATGTATCTAGCTATCTATCTATCTATCTATCAATCTATCTATCTATCAACCTATTTATCTATCTATGTATCTAGCTATCTAGCTAGCTAGCTATCTATCTATGTATCTATCTATCTATCTATTTATCTATCTATTTATCTATCTATGTATCTAGCTATCTAGCTAGCTAGCTAGCTGGCTATCTATCTATCTATCTATCTATCCATCAACCTATTTATCTATCTATTTATCTATCTATGCATCTAGCTAGCTAGCTAGCTATCTATCTACCAACCTATTTATCTATCTATCTATCTATCTATCAACCTATTTATCTATCTATTTATCTTTCTATGTATCTAGCTATCTAGCTAGCTATCTATCTATCTATCTATCAACCTATTTATCTATCTATGTATCTAGCTATCTAGCTAGCTAGCTATCTATCAACCTATTTATCTATCTATATATTTATCTACCTATTTATCTATCTATGTATCTAGCTATCTAGCTATCTAGCTATCTATCTATCTATTTATCTATCTATGTATCTAGCTATCTAGCTAGCTATCTATCTATCTATCTATCTATCAACCTATTTATCTATCTATGTATCTAGCTATCTAGCTAGCTAGCTATCTATCTATGTATCGATCAATCAACCTATTTATCTATCTATGTATCTAGCTATCTAGCTAGCTAGCTATCTATCTATCAACCTATTGATCTATCTATTTATCTATCTATGTATCTATCTATCTATCAATCAACCTATTCATCTATCTATTTATCTATCTATGTATCTAGCTATCTAGCTAGCTATCTATCTAGCTATCTATCAACCTATTTATCTATCTATTTATCTATCTATGTATCTAGCTATCTAGCTAGCTAGCTATCTATCTATCTATCTACCAACCTATTTATCTATCTAATTATCTATCTATGTATCTAGCTATCTAGCTATCTAGCTATCTATCTATCTATCAATCAACCTATTTATCTATCTATTTATCTACCTATTTATCTATCTATGTATCTAGCTATCTAGCTATCTATCTATCTATCAATCTATCTATCTATCGATCTATCGATCAACCTATTTATCTATCTATTTATCTACCTATTTATCTATCTATGTATCTAGCTATCTAGCTATCTAGCTATCTAGCTATCTATCTATCTATCTATCAACCTATTTATCTATCTATGTATCTATCTATCTAGCTATATAGCTATCTAGCTATCTATCTATCTATCTATCTATCTATATATTCATCTATCTATCAACCTATTTATCTATCTATTTATCTATCTATGTATCTAGCTATCTAGCTATCTAGCTATCTAGCTATCTATCTATCTATGTATCTATCTATGTATCTAGCTATCTAGCTATCTAGCTATCTAGCTATCTAGCTATCTATCTATCTATCAATCTATTTATCTATCTATCTATCAATCAACCTATTTATCTATCTATTTATCTATCTATGTATCTAGCTATCTAGCTAGCTATCTATCTATCTATCTATCAATCGCGACGGCAACCGCCCGCACCGCATCGTTCTCTTCTACTGCCATGGTTCTCTTCTATTGCCGTCGCTCCGCGACAAGAACCCCTGTGCGGCCGCCACGGTTTGAAGTTTGAACGATGTTGTTCTCACACCTTCGCGAGCGCTCGTAACTGCCAATGATGTCGGCCATTGAGACCAAAAACATCCGAAAGTACTGATTGTCGGAAAAAAAAACGCGAAGAATTTGATAGCCATGTATAGCGGACCAACGCAGTTCAAAAAATAACGAAAACATGAAAAAACGGCGAAATTGCTGTTATTTACAGTGTTTTTGCGCGGTGAGAAGCAGAAACCACTGCAAATACCATGGTTTTTGAGGGTCAGGTGGGCAAAAACACTGTAATTTGCAGCGTTTTTTTAACCAACGTCAAAAAACACTGGTATTTACAATGTTTTCATTCACACCGTAACATAAAACAGCGTAATTTACGAGGTTTTTGGAAGTTTTGAAGCTAGCCGTCATGCATGCAGAAAACAGAAAAACACTGTAAAAACCAGTGTTTCTGCTATCACAAAACGACGAAAAGCAGTCCGAAAACGGGTCCAAAAACTCAAAAATCCGCCTCCGGGCCAGGCCACCTGCGGAACCGCAAAAAAAAGATGTTGCAAACCAAAAACTTGAGGCCAAAAAGTTGAAAAACACGGGTTTTTTTCCCTTTTCGCTTGCCGATTTTGGACGGGCGCGTTCACGAACAGGTGTCTTCCGTACTGTTTTTTACAGTGTTTTTTGAAGGCGAGCGTCACGACCTATCAAAAACAGGAGGTTTTGGCCGAAAAAATGCCCCCCCCCCCAGGTAAACCTGTAACCTTTTACGAGTGCCATCCGGACGATCACGCCCCAGCACCTTCGGTGCGGGCGGATTTATCTATCTATTTATCTATCTATGTATCTAGCTATCTAGCTAGCTAGCTAGCTATCTATCTATCCATCCATCAACCTATTTATCTATCTATTTATCTATCTATGTATCTAGCTATCCAGCTAGCTAGCTATCTATCTATCTATCAACCTATTTATCTATCTAATTATCTATCTATGTATCTAGCTATCTAGCTATCTAGCTATCTATCTATCTATCTATCTATGTATCTATCTATCAATCAACCTATTTATCTATCTATTTATCTACCTATTTATCTATCTATGTATCTAGCTATCTAGCTATCTATCTATCTATCTATCAATCTATCTATCTATCTATCTATCAACCTATTTATCTATTTATGTATCTAGCTATCTAGCTATCTAGCTATCTAGCTATCTATCTATCTATCAACCTATTTATCTATCTATTTATCTATCTATGTATCTAGCTATCTAGCTAGCTATCTATCTATCTATCAACCTGTTTATCTATCTATGTATCTAGCTATCTAGCTATCTAGCTATCTATCTATCTATATTTTTATCTATCTATCAACCTATTTATCTATCTATTTATCTATCTATGCATCTAGCTATCTAGCTAGCTATCTATCTATCTATCTATCAACCTATTTCTCTATCTATCTATGTATCTAGCTATCTAGCTATCTAGCTATCTATTTATCTATCTATTTATCTATCTATGTATCTAGCTATCTAGCTATCTATCTATTTATCTATCTATGTATCTAGCTATCTAGCTAGCTATCTATCTATCAACCTGTTTATCTATCTATGTATCTAGCTATCTAGCTATCTAGCTATCTAATTATCTATCTATCTATCTATCTATCTATCAACCTATTTATCTATCTATTTATCTATCTATGTATCTAGCTATCTAGCTAGCTATCTATCTATCTATCTATCAACCTATTTATCTATGTATCTAGCTAGCTATCTAGCTATCTAGCTATCTAGCTATCTAGCTATCTATCTATCTATCTATATATTTATCTATCTATCAACCTATTTATCTATCTATTTATCTATCTATGTATCTAGCTATCTAGCTATCTATCTATCTATTTAGCTATCTAGCTATCTAGCTATCTAGCTATCTAGGTATCTATCTATCTATCTATCTATCTATCAACCTATTTATCAATCTATTTATCTAGCTATCTATCTAGTTATCTATCTATCTATCTACCAACCTATTTATCTATCTAATTATCTATCTATGTATCTAGCTATCTAGCTATCTAGCTATTTATCTATCTATCTATCTATCAACCTATTTATCTATCTATTTATCTATTTATCTATCTATGTATCTAGCTATCTCGCTATCTAGCTATCTCTATCTATCTATCTATTTATCTATCTATCTATCTATCTATGTATCTATCTATTTATCTATCTATCTATCTATCTATTTATCTATCTATCTATCTATCTATGTATCTATCTATTTATCTATCTAGCTACCTACATAAGGAATCATCGGGTAAATGTGTCTGATTCGTTATGCCTAGACCCACTTAAAATCTCAGCGACCAACGTCCTCCACCATCTTCGCCTCGAAGACGGCGGTAAACCTAGACCTGTTCGGCCGAGATACTGACAGCTTGGTGACTTTAGCCCCATGAATTGGTCTATAGCCCCTATAATTGTGGCCATATTGTAGCCATATATCCACTTATTAATTGGATATTTCTTGTCTTTAAGACTTAAGACTTTAAGACTCAGGCTGAAACCTGGCAGTTTCGGGAAGATAGTTGAACCACCACCTCACTTGTTGCTTCATAAACCCAGCGAAATCTTGACATCTCCACCGTAAACCCTGGTTAAATGAGTTGAAAGCCTGCCCGGCAACTGGCAATGTCAGACTATGGCAGTCAAAATCCACCAGGCAAGCTGCTGTCAATGCTTTCCACTTAGGCCTAGCATCCACCCACCCACCCACCCAGCACCCACCCACCCACCCACCCACCAACCCATCCATCCATCCATCCATCCATCCATCCATCCATGCACATAAGTCTATATATATATAAATATGTATTTAATATAATTTAATCATATATTGTGATATATTGTGTGTATTACATACTATATCATACTATTGTTTCATGCATATGTGTTCCCCACCTGCCAGGTGAGGGTTGTTAGATTTTATGTCAGTTGCCTGCTCCTCTCCTCCTCTCCTCTCCTCCTCTCCTCTCCTCCTCCTGCTCAACCGCGACCCTCGACGCACAGTGTTCTCTGTCGGACCTCAACCACGACCATCCACGCCCAGTGTTCCCTGCCGGACCTCAACCACGACCATCCCCGCCCAGTGTTCCCTGCCGGACCTCAACCACGACCATCCACGCCCAGTGTTCCCTGCCGGACCTCAACCACGACCATCCACGCCCAGTGTTCCCTGCCGGACCTCAACCGCGAGGATCCACGCCAAGTGTTCCCTGCCGGACCTCAACCGCGAGTATCCACGCCAAGTGTTCCCTGCCGGACCTCATGTAGGAAGATATGGGACAAAGAATGTGCAGAAGAAAGTTAGAAAGAATGTGCACCACTGGACCTCAACGGCCAGATAGAATGCCAGAAGATATGCCAGGTGGAATGTCAGATAGAATGCCAGAAGATATGCCAGATAAAATGCCATGAGATATGCCAGATAGAATGCCTGAAGGTATGCCAGAAGATATGCCAGATGGTATGCCAGATAAAGTGCCAGAATGTTTGCCAGATAGAATGCCAGATTTGCCAGATAGAATGCCAGATAGGATGTCAGAAGATATGCCAGAAGATATGCCAGATAGAATGCCAGATAGAATGCCAGAAGATTTGCCAGAACATATGCCAGAAAATATGCCAGATAGAATGCCAGAAGGTATGCCAGATAGAATATCAGATAGAATGCCAGAAGGTATGCCAGAATGTTTGCCAGATAGAATGCCAGAAGATTTGCCAGATAGGATGGCAGAAGATATGCCAGAACATATGCCAGAAGATATGCCAGGTAGAATGCCAGAAGGTATGCCAGATAGAATGCCAGATCGAATGCCAGAAGATATGTCAGATAGAATGCCAGAAGATTTGCCAGTAACAAATCGATAAATGTCATGGTGGGGATCACACGAAGTAAAGTAATTTTGATTTTTCATGATACATTCCACAAATTTCCACATCATCCATGGATCATCCATGCAAAAATCCATTGGGAGTCCCCACTTGAAGCGTCCCGTAGGGAAGTTCACCCTTTGGGCTGTCATCACACCTGGGTCCCCTGGGTCCCCTATGGTCCGCTGGGTGGTGCCCCTAGCGGCCCTAGCGGGATTGATGGATGTTTACAGCACATCTAAATATGGTATTATGATGTATGGCATGTGGGTTAATCCAAAATCCATTGGGTAATTATGGTACCCAATGGTACCCAATTATTGGGTCAAAACTAAGTATTACAAAACTGTTGACCCAATCCAAAATCGCCAAATGACTTGAATTTGCTTGTTCATGTGGGTTAATTATATAAAATGGCCACACATGACATCTTCATCCAAGTCATCATCTTGATCAAAATCGAACACATGTTTCAACTAACTCACCATCTGGATCGAAACACATGGCACAGTGCATGTGGTTGGGCATGATCCATTCGTTTTCTACATGGAGATACCATCCATTGTCACAGGTCATGTGTACAGGCAGGCCTAGGTGATTGCCAGGTGTACCAGGCGTTGACGAGTCTGGAGAGGCTGTTCTAAGGTGTTCTGAGTCTGTACAGTAGCTGTTTCTGAATAAAAACCATACCACGATCATACCATGCCATGCCATGCCATGAAATCCCATACCATGCCATACCATACCTACTTTTGCCGTCAGTTTCCACATTATCGCAAGACTTAAAGATTCCCACTTGCAAAAGTCAAAAAGGTTATTTCCTAATTATTGCTGGTTGGTGGTTTCACCCCTACCCCTCTGAAAAATGATGGAGTTCGTCAGTTGGGATGATTATTCCATTCCCAATATATGGAAAGTCATAATCCAGTCATGTTCCAAACAACCAACCAGATATATTGTTATTCCAATGATTAACCATAGATTAACCATAGATTAACCATAGATTAACCAGGAAAAGTCATGTTCCAGTCACCACCAACCAGATTGCGTTTACCGTTCCTAGGGCACAGCCTTGGTCTCTTTTGGCCCCTGAGACGTGCCTTTTTTGCACTTCCAATAGGGGATGGCAACCCCGACAAAGTGTCATCAAACATGGCTGGCTGGGACTTTTTCTATCATAAAAGGATATGTTTTCACTATATATATATATATACATATAATTTATAATTGTATATAGAGGAAACATCATCTGTAAATGCTGGATTTTCTCCATGCCTTTATCCATGCCTTTCTCCCTGCACTGAATCGAGTCACGGGAATCATCCTCTGAATAGTAGGAGTAGTCCTCATCATCCTGGCATCGGTTCCAAGCTGGCAGCGCCGGCTACCGGTTACCGCTTGAAACATTCGTTGGTTGAAACGAATTTTAAGGAGAACATGTTGAAACCAATCCGGGGTAATAGGGGAACTGAGTAAATTCGTTTTTTAAGATGTTGAAGCAAAGATATTTAAACATGTTTAAACGAAATCAAAAAGATTGTGGACCCAACCGCATGAGATCATGTGCACTTGCAGAATCAAGCACTGAGAAATCTGCTGCTAGTGATTACTCAAACCACGCATTTGGGACATGTTCAAAGAGCCCCACAATATATATATCTGGGTAAATTGTAATATTTCACTAACCTGAATAGTTGGGCCATTTGGGGATGATTTCCCTTATTAACCATGATTCCAGGGTTCGGTCGCAGTGAGGTCGTTATAATTTACCCAGATATAAGTTTCAACGTTTTAAACGCCTTCCATGCCTTCCAGCTACCCCAGTCGTCACCATGGGTTTCAATACTAAGCCATGGTCATCCATGACTTGGATGATAACTGGGGTACCCCTATAGGAAACCCCCCATTTATGGGATGATTTGGATCCCATAAAAATGGTAATATTGGGTTCATGAAAGTTGGATTGATGATTGATGCATCTAAATAGCAATATTACTGGTTGGTGGTATACCTACCCCTCTGAAAAATATCAGTCAGTTGGGATGATTAACCCAATATATGGAAAAATAAAAAAAGTTCCAAACCACCAACCAGATTAAGTAAGACATGAATACATGATCCGAAAAGAGAGAAGGTAACTGTGCACTTGTACGATAATTTTGCCCGGAAAACCCGGGACCTGTTCAATCTTTACCAGTCATGTAAGTGGGAATCCAGCGCAAAAAGAGAATATCAAGGCCCCGCAAAAAGAACGAACGAAATGCTGTCCTCGTACTCGTCATCATCGTAACCTTCAAGGTCACACAGGAGGTGTGCAAACAAATCACATCATAGTATTGACTGGCTGGTGATTCTTCACTTGGCAATGCCCAATCAAATTCCTGACGTTCAGGAGGTGTAATCTAAGAACCCAAACTATGGACACTAAACAGATTCCAAAGTAATTCAAGGATACTAAGAACAATCTTTAAGATTCTATAAATCAGTTTCCTATAGTGATTCTAGGTGTCACCTACGGATCAGTTTGGCTAAGGACCATAGAAACTGATGCTTTGGTACCAGTGTCTGAGGGCCCGAACCCTGCATCATTCCAGGGATGGCCTTAGCATGGGCAGCGTAAGGGTCGGTTTTTGTGTTGTTCCCGAGAGCGCCTGCGAAGGGTTCTTCGTAAAAAAGCAGCCGTTATACTAGATCTTCACACCTTCACACCTGCAGATCTAGATCTTCACACTCTCACATCTGCCGATCTACATCTTCACACCTTCACATCTGCTGATCTAGATCTTCAGACCCTCACATCTGCAGATCTAGATATTCACACCTTCACACCTGCAGATCTAGATCTTCACACTCTCACATCTGCCGATCTACATCTTCACACCTTCACATCTGCTGATCTACATCTTCACACCTTCACACCTGCAGATCTAGATCTTCACATCCTCATATCTGCAGATCTAGATCTTCACCCTCACACCTGCAGATCTAGATCTTCACACCCTCACACCTGCAGATCTAGATCTTCACACCTTCACATCCGCAGATCTACATCTTCACACCCTCACATCTGCCGATCTAGATCTTCACACCTTCACATCTGCAGATCTAGATCTTCACACCCTCACATCTGCAGATCTAGATCTTCATACCCTCACACCTGCAGATCTAGATCTTCACACCCTCACACCTGCAGATCTAGATCTTCACACTCTCACATCTGCCGATCTACATCTTCACACCTTCACATCTGCAGATCTCCTCTCGCTCTTCTTCTATTCTCTCTTAAGGCGGTGGCGGTGCCGCCGGAGCGCCACGAAACGCAACCCTTTCGCACGAAATGGACGTTGGACGCCAAAAACTGAGGTAAAATTGCGATTTTACTTTGTCCATTGCAACCCTTTCGCACGAAATGGACGTTGGACGCCAAAAACTGAGGAAAAGTTGCGACTTTGAAGCGTCCCGCGCAACCCTTTCGCACGAAATGGACGTTGGACGTCAAAAACTGAGGAAAAATTGCGACTTTGAGGTGTCGCACGCAACCCTTTCGCACGAAATGGACGTTGGACGTCAAAAACTGAGGAAAAATTGCAACTTTGAGGTGTCGCGCGCAACCCTTACGCACGAAATGGACGTTGGACGTCAAAAACTGAGGAAAAATTGCGACTTTGAGTTGTCAATCGCAACCCTTACACACGAAATGGACGTTGGACGTCAAAAACTGAGGAAAAATTGCGACTTTGAGTTGTCAATCGCAACCCTTACGCACGAAATGGACGTTGGACGTCAAAAACTGAGGAAAAATTGCGACTTTGAGTTGTCAATCGCAACCCTTACGCACGAAATGGACGTTGGACGTTAAAAACTGAGGTAAAATTGCGATTTTACTGTGTGTAAAAGCTTCTGTGTGTAAAAGCGTCTGTGTGTAAAGGAGTCTGTGTGTAAAAGCTTCTGTGTGTAAAAGCGTCTGTGTGTAAAAGCGTTTGTGTGTAAAAGCGTTTGTGTGTAAAAGCTTCTGTGTGTAAAAGCGTCTGTGTGTAAAAGCGTTTGTGTGTAAAAGCGTCTGTGTGTAAAAGCGCCTGTGTGTAAAAGCTTCTGTGTGTAAAAGCGTCTTATGTAAAAGCGTTTGTGTGTAAAAGCGCCTGTGTGTAAAAGCTTCTGTGTGTAAAAGCCTCTGTGTGTGAAAGTGTTGTGTGTAAAAAGTTCTGTGTGTAAAAGCTTCTGTGTGTAAAAGCGCCTGTGTGTAAAAGCTTCTGAGTGTAAAAGCCTCTGTGTGTAAAGGAGTCTGTGTGTGTGTAAAAGCGTCTGTGTGTAAAAGCGTCTGTGTGTAAAAGCGTCTGTGTGTAAAAGAGTCTGTGTGTAAAAGCGTCTGTGTGTAAAAGAGTCTGTGTGAAAAAGCGTCTGTGTGTAAAAGCTTCTGTGTGTAAAAGCTTCTGTGTGTAAAAGCGTCTGTGTGTAAAAGCGTCTGTGTGTAAAGCGTCTGTGTGTAAAAGTGTTTCTGTGTAAAAGTGCTTGTGTGTAAAAGTGTTTGTGTGTAAAAGCGTCTGTGTGTAAAAGCTCTGTGTGTAAAAGCGTCTGTGTGTAAAAGCTTCTGTGTGTAAAAGCGTGTGTGAAAAAAAGCGTCTGTGTGTAAAAGCGTCTGTGTGTAAAAGCGTCTGTGTGTAAAAGCGTCTGTGTGTAAAAGTCTCTGTGTGTAAAAGCGTCTGTGTGTAAAAGCGTCTGTGTGTAAAAGTATTTGTGTGTAAAAGTGTTGGTGTGTAAAAGTGTCTGTGTGTAAAAGCGTCTGTGTGTAAACGTGTTTGTGTGTAAAAGTCTCTGTGTGTATTTGCGTCTGTGTGTAAAAGCGTCTGTGTGTAAAAGCTCTGTGTGTAAAAGCGTCCGTGTGTAAAAGCCTCTGTGTGTATAATAAAAGCGTCTGTCTGTAAACAGTTCTGTGTGTAAAAGCGTCTGTCTGCAACTTTACGAAAGATACGATGCAAACTATTGTCTTGTACTTGTAATATATTGTTTTGAAACTACTCTTCTCGTCTGCCTATAATACATCTTCAATATATTGTCTTGTAATTTAGTGTCTCCATACTAGCAACAGAAGACTTTGCTCGTCTACGCTCTCGGGCCATCCGTCGTCTAGTGTTTTTGCCGTTTATTTATGGTTATTACTAATGATAATTATTATGGTTATTACTAATGTTCCAGTCACCACCAACCAAATATATTGTTATTCCAATTATTAACCATTATTAACCATAGATTAACAATTATTATGATGACAATTATTGTTAAATTACTATTATGATTATGACGATGCGTAAGATTATTGTTCATGCTATTGTTGGTTGTTGTTGAAGTGGTAATATTGTTCATACTGCTGATGATAATGATATTGGTCCAATTGAGTTATCTCAAGTTTTAGGTCCGACCCTCCTGAACAAAATCGCCAGGTGGAGCCATCATCAATCATCTAACAGCGCCTGGAAAGAGGGGCCTCATCAACCCGTGGGAAAAGGACATCTACGCTCTGGTTATGTCAAAATAGCAATTGAAAATGGCCCATTTAGTTCGTTGATTTACCATTAAACATTGTAATTTTCCAAAATTATGTTAGTTTACCAGAGGGTATGTATGTTCATGTATGTTCATGTCTGTTCATAATAGTGATATTATTTCCATTGCAACCAGTGCTGGTTGCAGCATGTTACTCTTTGGTAGTCAAACATGGCAATGGAACATTCCTCAATTTTGTTCGATGGTTTTCCCAGCTAGAAACCTAGCTACTTGGGTCTGCAACTTCCCAGCCAGCATTGCTAATTATAGTTATACAGTTATACCCTCTGGTTATTTAACATAGTCATGGTATAGATGGCCCATTTATAGATGGTTTACCTATTAAAAAGGGTGATTTTCCATGGCTATGTTAAATAACCAGATGGTATATATATATATATATATATACATATTATCCCCGTAAACTCCCAGAATCTCCATATAAAATCACCATTTTTTATCACTCTAAAATCCCCATTGATAGGTAGGAAAATTCCATGCCGCACCCCAATCCCCCGATCCGCAGCCAGGTCAAGTAACGTTTGGCCCCAGGCTTCGAGGCTGAGCCGCCTGCCTGGCTTTGTCAGATCATATATCATGAATTTTCTGTTCATACATATATATATATACATATATGTATATACATGTATATACATAATATATATATATATATATATCCCATTAATGACCATTGGGAAAAACTGTGGATTTTGGATAATTGTTGGATCACATAGACCGTGTTCTGATCATTTTTGGGGACAAAGAACTGCAGGAATGAGAGCCTCTGCTGGGACCATCAGCCATGTGGCGTGGCGGCTGGTTCTGCACATTGGTAAGCTGCAGTTCTGCAACTGGTGGCTGGTTATAAATCCAAAACTGTAGAAAACTAGTCATGGGGTATCATCATCCAAGTAGGGATCGATAACCGAACTTGTAAGAAGAACAACCAAACAATCTCAGCTTCCAAATGCACACATCTCAACCCCCCATCCATGACTGAAACAACAAGCACTCGCCAGGCATGCTTTGCCATTTCTTCCTGAATATTTTTGCTCGCTATCCTGGATTTTGACCTCAGATCAACATAGATCTGCTGGCTCAATCCGTTGACTGAACACTCGTTCTGCTGCGTTTTTTTTTGCCAAGGACCTGTTCGTTGGATGAAGCAACATATTAACATCAAACAAAAAATCAATGCAAACCTGAGGCCCCCAGCCTGTTCTCTCGATCCTATGGCAAGGTGGAAGAGGATCCAGGATCCCATGAAATCGATCGGGGATTAGCATATGCTAGACTAAGCTGGTCAAATTCAGCTGGGTTCATGGATTGAATCCCTTCATGAATCATTTAAGCAACACCTACCTTAGATTGCCAACGAAAAACCATCTTTTTGGCCGACTTTTTGCAATCGGATTACGGCTAAATGTGAATACCATTCTCTTGGAGCCTACCGACAGCAACGAAGACCATGATAATGGTCGGGGAGTCTCGGCCAGACTCTGCTGACCTCTGCTGCTGGCTTGAACCGCTTGAACCTCTTGAACCGCTTGAACCTTTGTGTCGTGAGTAGATCGAGTTAAGCGCCCCTCAGATTCACCATGTCTTGTTCTAAACAGATCTAAACAGTTTTCTTTTTTTTTGGGTGCTTGACATTCAGGCTTCAGTCCTTCACGTGCACATATCGGAGATAAGTGTCCAAAAAAGGAAAAGCCCGTCTTGTTCCCAGCAATGTTTACCTTTCTCAAATCATCTCAAATCCTCAAGTTGATCTTAGGATGCTGTAATCATCAAGTTGATCTGAAGATAATCACGGACAATCTATCTTCAACTAGCCCTCTGGTAATCATAGCACTGGAAATCCACCATCTGTAGATATTTATACTTGATTTTCCAAGCTAGAAAATAGAATATTTACAATATTATACTATATACATAGATATGTCCCCTTCATTTATAGCTGGTTGGTGGTTTCAACCCCTATGAAAAATATGAGTTCGTCAGATTGGATCATCATCCCAACTATTGGGGAAAATAAAAGTCATGTTCCAAACCACCAACCAGATTGGGTTTTCCATTATACTACATAGATATGTCTATACCATATGCTATAGGCCATTAATTAATATGAACCATTAACCATATGGTATAGTATAGGCCTATACCATAGATATTTCTATCCCAATTACTACATTGGGATATTTCTATACCATATACTATATATTAATATTAACCATTAACAACCATTTCCCAGCCATGTTTCGTCCCCAAGAAAGGGCCTCCGCCACCCGTTGCTTCATCGTCTTCGCCGCGACCTGGTCGTCCAAGCTCTCAGCAGCCTTCTTCTCCTCTGGTTCGACCCATCAAAATGGTGACCATTTTGGACCAAAAACATAGGGAAACATATGGTTAACTGTACCCACTAGTTGATAATAATGGAATATGATATGCTATATAATAGTATATAATGGTATATAATGCTATACTGGTTGGTGGTGACTTTACCGTCTTGAAAAATATGAGTTCGTCAATTGGAAGGATGATCCCATATATGAAAAGGAAAAAATCAAAAATGTTTGAAACCACCAACCACATATGGTAACCTGTACCAATGTTAATGGATACCAGGGAGGGTCTAGGTTTTTATGTTCTGGATTTTGGCGGTGGAAAATAAATCACCTGTTTTGGCCGTTTCCATCTCCATTTTTGACAAAAATCACCAGTATATACTATTCTATATGTTTTTGTTCGTGCAGGCCGATGATTTTGTTGGACACATCACCACGCTTGTTAGGTAAATCATCACATTCTTGTTGTGTAAACCGGTAAACCGTATCTTTTAGTGGTTTATCCATGTTTATCCCACTGTTTCGCTTCATTTCTGTTGCTTCAGACCCAACTGTTGGTGGTTGAAACTGCAGAAACCATGGCTAAACTCTAAAACTTAACCATGTTGGGCCAAAATCCCTGCATTGTTAGGCGATTTCCCGCCATTTTACGGGCCAAAATCACATTTTGGGGCCCCAAAAGGCCTAGCCGGGGCCGACCACCTCCACGGTGGGCGCCACGTTCCATCGCTCCGCGGTGAAGCGCACCGGAGGACGGTTGCGCTCCACCTGTTTGGAATAACCTGATCACTTGGATCATATATGATCCATATATTCTCCTCTGGTTCGACCCATCAAAATGGTGACCATTTTGGACCAAAAACATAGAAACATATGGTTAACTGTACCTACTAGTTGATAATAATGGAATATGATGCTATATATAATGGCATATAATGCTATATAACGGTATATAATGCTATACTGGTTGGTGGTGGTTTTAACCATCTTGAAAAATATGAGTTCGTCAATGGGAAGGATGACATCCCATAGATTGTGGAAAATATAAAATGTTCCAAACCACCAACCAGTGATCCATATATTCTGGTTGGTGGTTTCAAATACTGGGATATGGTTAAGATATGGTTACATAATATGGTTACATAATATGGTTAATACATATGGTTAATACATATGGTTATTAAATGGTTAGATGATCCATATATTCTGGTTGGTGGTATACCTACTCCTCTCAAAAATGATGGAGTTCGTCAGTTGGGATGATGACATTCCCAATGTATGGAAAATCATTTAAAAAAAAACATGTTCCAAACCACCAACCAGTATTTGTTGGGATCATACGATGGATGGAAGAAATCCTGCACCAGCTGATAGGTGGTTTATCACACTATTTATAGTGGTTCAACCATCCAAGGTGGTGCAGGATTTCTTCCATTCACAGTACATATATATATATAGAATATATAATATGTGTATGTACAGGAATCATGGAATATATTGACATGTTAGTAAAGGACAATCCATATCAAAATCATATATATATATATTGATGGAGTACGATGTTAAGAGTATCAATAATAACAATAAATAATCTAATAAAAATAATGTCGTTATTAATAAACCTAGTAACCATAACCGTAAGAATAATGGTAATCATGATAGTAGTAATAATAATAGTAATGGTAATGGTAACATATAAATATACATGGCAATCAAACATGGTTTACTGGAGAATTCCCCTTTAATTTGATGACTTTCCCAGCTAGAAACCTCCATTTAGTTCAGGCAATTAGTACGTTGGATTACTGGATGGTAATGTTTATCTCTTAGTCATGAGAATAGGTATGTTTTAATATTCTCAATTTAATGTATCCCATTAACACTTCCTTGATATAAGAAAACATAAGAATATCCCGGGCCATTACTATTTCATTAATATTAAGAATAGAATACCAAACATCGCTAAAAACACAAATATACCTCACATTGTGAGGAATATATCCATGGGTGTAATGACTACAGACATATTTTGGTGATAAGGATGGGGATCACATGTAGGGATGTAGCCAACAATTAAATATGGGGTACTATGGGGGTATGCTATGGGGATATATAATATATACAAATAATTTACACGTACATATATATATAATATATATAATTAGCTAGTGAACCAACGAGACGGAAACTGGAGACACCTGGCTTGAAAAATGGATTGACTATTTTTCGGGAACATTTTTTTTCAAAAGGAACCCCTGGGAGCTATCCCCAACTGCCGTCCCAGTTCTCTTCACGTCATGGGACAGCAAATTGGATCTATCAAAACAGCAAACCGGTGGGTTCCGAAGAACAAGAACGATGGTATTACGTGCACAGGATGCAGCAACAGAAATGGGAATGGAAAACTCGTTCTAAATCGGTATGATGCCGAAGAGTTGTGGATAATGTAATGTTATCTCCATAGGAACCCAAATCACAACACTGCATGTAGGGTATATTATGACATGAACAAACTTGTATACTGAAGACAATCTCACACCATTATCAGTTCGAATGGACTCTCAAAGAATGCTAGCCAGTTGTATGAAATTGTAAGAACCGAGCTAGCTTGTCATATCCATGCGTCATCAACAAATCCTTTGGGGCATCCACAGTCACAAAGTTCCCATACACGGATTGTTAGACCGATGAAGCAACCAAGATATCGCACATCTTTTCCTGACCTTTGATGTTTAGATTCAAAGATCCTCGGTTTCACGTTGTTCTTAACCTTTAAACTCCAAATTTGATCTGCTTAAGCCTTAAAACTGTCCCAAGACTTCAAAATTCTGCGGTTTCACTCATTTTGTTTCATCAAAACTCCGAACAAACTCAGAGTTTCACCAACCTTTTGGCCCCCAAAAAGAATTTGGATCACACTCTCCACGTCGCCACATCCCTGCCTGGATTCGGTCCCAGAGCTCTTCAAAGGTTTTGACCTTGGGTTTTTCATCTTGGGATTTCACCAACATGAACTCAACAAGAGACTTCCATGAAAAAATGGGATATCATGGGATATCAAGAACTAAGCAACTAATTTAGGGTAATGGCTTTGTCTGAAGATAGAGGATAGAGGTTTTTCCATTTGATGGCCAGTTTGGAAAGGGAAAATCATGATCCATTGGAATTGCGGGTATCATATCTTCAATTGGAAAACCGGCAACTTTACCAAGGGAACAAACAAAAACCGTATTCTGACATATTCTGCTGGACATTCCTTTTCATATTTTGCAGGAGATAAAATAGGGAAGTCAAGTGCCCGACCGGATGACCAGCGATGTCTACAATGATGTCACCCACCTTTTCGCAAAGTTGGGGCAAAGTTGGGGCCCCAAAACGATAGCTGAGGTGGTCCATATAACTGCAATTTCACTATAGGTTTATGATACTTATAACTTATATCTATAGTATTCATGGGGGTTGTAATCCAAGATAATCCAAGCTATAACAGAGGGGCCTCACATTGTAGAGATGGTATCTGCACATAGCTGCTTTGAAGGTACTTGTATCCATCAGAACGCTCAAGATAGCTCAAGGCATCATTCAGAAATTTGGATCAACATCTTGCAATAACTTTCAGACATTGGATTTTCATACATCATCACTGGGTCCTTTGCAAATGAATCTGGATTTTTGCACATATAAGCAACATGCCTGTTGGCCCGGCTGCCTCTGGCAACTATTTCCGACTCAAAGTTTCATCCCGCTGGAAGGTCTTAAAAAAGCCATGACTGAAAAAAATGCGGCTTGGGGCTGTTGGAGCCTTGCTCCATATACCCATCAAAATGACGGCAGTATCCCACCATCCCGTCCTTGCCTGCCAGCCATGTTTGGCTCCCCATGGGTGGACCTGCTATGGCACTTCCCACCCAAAAAAAAAACATGTTAAATACATTCCAGATGGGAACTATGAGCCTGTTTCATCCTCAAACTCCTCAAACCCAAATCCAATGAAATGACATCCCACGCCAACCACTCCAACTCAATGAAATTCAATTTACCAAACTTAAATTGATATAGTTTAATCCCATCCCCCTATTATTAAACACCATTTTCCCCCCATTATCCGCAAAAAACAACCGTAGAATTCCACCGTCCGCCCGAGGCCACACGAATGACGCGAAGCTCCATCAGCTCCAAACCCAAGGGCCGTGAATCGGGTAAATCCTAGGCGAAGCTTCTGGGAAGGACGATTTATGGCATAAATCATGATCACCATCATTATAATCATTGTGGTGATGATGATGATGATGTTGATGATGATGATGCTGCTGGTGGTGGTGGTGGTTTATGCCATTGGTCATGGCTATGGATGCTCATCATACTAGCAAAGCATCGTTTTTTCCCGGACATCCAAAACGACTCGTGTCCGGAGGGTATGAAACAGTCTCCATAGTTGGCTGTAGTGTAACACGTCCACGATCCACTTCCAAATTTGCCGCACATGGCATCGTAAGAAAATGCTTGACGGGCAAAAACAAACTATATAACAAAGGGGACAAATTAGGCAAAAAAACATCAACAACACCGTAGCAACACAATACTACCACCACTTGTTGAGTCAGTATGTCTCTAACTCTCTCTTGTTTAGATTATTATAGCTACCCTCCGGTAATCAAATGTGGCAACTGAACACCCCCATTTATCCATGATTTTCCCAGAAACATTCATTGAGTTCGGGGATTTCCCAGCCAGCCATGTTTGAGGACACCGGAGGCTAATCCCATCCTATCTCTATAAAATCACCCTTAAATCACCATTAGATCACCATTCAATTCCATTAAAACCGCTTCCTTTTACCGAGGGAGATCCCACTCAGTCACTGACGCTCATCACGATGCACACGTGAGGCCTTGGACCAGCGAGGCCTTCATGGCGATTCAGGCCCGAGGCGCCTATGGGTACTGAGAACAACAGGGGAACCCATAAACCTGGTGACCCTGGTGGAAAAGGAGAGAAACTTCGCCACAACATGGGGCAGCAATGGAGCGGCAAATCTGGCACACGGGCATATCGAATGCTCATCTAATGATCATCACACTGGCTCACATGTGCAATGAGTTCGCGGCTTGATGTCATCCCTTTCTTTGTTCTCCGCTTTGTAACTCTTGAAGAAACCAAACTTGTCCAGTTTCATTCCCTGGGCCAAGCACGGAGAGGATCCAAGTGTCAGCTGGCAAATATGGTAGGTCCTCATGACAGAATGAACCATAGAACCATAGAACTACTTGCTGCACCACAATTATCTAATGTGGCTTATAACATGTTAAAACTCCAATAATTGGGGGGGCGCCAACTTGTGGACATAGTCTTCATGCATGGCGCGCTGCGCAAATGGATGATTTGCCACATCTCCAAAGGGAAGACACAGATTTTGCTCCTTTCGGGGTGCATTTGGGTTACATCTTCTACCAGAATATGGGGATAATACAACAAACTGCGTCAAAAATACCGCAAGACACCAAGACATATTATTGCTGGCTATGTATTATTATATATATATACATATATTAATTATTTATATATATATATTGAAATACACATTGTTATCATTTATCTCACCATCTACCCATTTGGACTGTATGTGGCAAAAGTCAGCTGAAAACATACCAGCTTCACCATGATTGATGCATCCTCGCCATCATCGCTATCCACAGTGGGCTTTCGGTCTTTATCTGGCAAACATCACGCTGGTGGTGACATGGGAAGATCTTCTCGGGCGAATGGGCACATTGGACGATACTCTATGGCTGTGGTCAAAACCTGACGTGGTAAGAATTCAGTACCAAAACTATGGACATATCATCAAATATGGATCGCTTTACCATGGCATCCTGATTTTAACGCCATAAAAATGACGAAGCTAGAGAATGCTCAACCACCAAAATCTGGTACGACATGGTGCGACTTACGAAAAATGTCTGTCACACACCGGATGAAGGAACACAAGTCTGGGGATAATATCCAAGCCGAACCAACTGCAGATGGAAACAACACATGTTGTGTCTGAAATATAGAGGGATTGCACTCCCGCAATACGGCTTGACATGGTCGATGATGATAACTGATTGGTGGTTTCAATCCCTCTGGAAAATATTAGTCAGTTGGGATTACTATTCCCAATATATGGAAAATAAAAAATGTTCCAAACCACCAACCAGAAGGTATCGATAGGTATGACATATTCAGACAAAGCTATGTCCTCCAGGGATGTAGTCGTGACCAAAGGGACGGCGGAAATTCCGACTTCGGAATCTGCGGGAACTTCGAGATAGATCTTTGAGACAGTACGGGAAGAACTACATATTTCCAGCAAACCTCAGACAAGACGGCAGAAATCAAAACCTTTAGGACTCATGGCATTTGCCCAGGGAAATAATTGATTCAAATACATTCAAATGCCATATCTTTCTCCAACCCCATACTATCCTTTGTCGTAAACTCGGCGGCATCACAACGAATGTAGCAGAACCAAACAATGCCTTGGCCAAACGCAAAATCGGAAGATCTACATACCGCAAAAATGCATCAGGGTGACCAGGGTGATGGGTTCACCCCTCCGAAAGAAACACGCTCAAACAGGCATCATCTCCCCAATTTTGAAAGGAATCTGCAGCAGTACTTGTTTGAAATCGCAAATCAAACCTAAACATAGTGCCGTGAATGTCCTCCGGTCAGTGTCTGATTGCATGGCTTTCAGTCTACCTACGCTCTATGGCGATCCTGCAAGAAACTGTTCTTTAAATCCGGGTTTATACTAAGTAGATGTACACGTATTTTTCCTTTTCTTGAGGTGGGATATATAATGTATACAGTAATTCACTGACTATATATATATAAATTAAATCATATGTTTATTCAATTATAGGATGTATATATATATATGTATGTATGTAATATTGAATATATTATATTAAACATATTTATTATAGATTAAATAAATTAGATTATATATACATATAAATACATATATATATATATAAATACACATATATATACATATATATATATATGTACATATACATATATGTATATATTATCATATATATACGTATATATATATGTATACATATATATATTATTATTATATATATACATATATATTAGGTCCAATATATTATATATTATATATGTATATTAGGTTCACTATATTATATATTATATATGTATATTATGTTAAATATATGATATTATATATATTATGTGTTAAATATACTATATGAAATATCTAATGGTATATATACGGAGTTCATGGGATATATAGCCTCCATTTCTTTCCATTTGTGGCAATAACACTCACACAAAGCATTGAACTAACATTCCAAGGATTCACCTGAAGATCGCCTCAAACCAATCCTACATCGGATGTGAGTACAGTAAAACCTGCAAGCAGAATGCCATACGCAACTCTACTACTGACAACACGTGCCAAAGAAACATGTTTTTCTCGTGGAATGCTGAATAAACACCAAAAACCCACCAAAATTGACAGCAAACACATCAAGGATAGATAACATAACATAGCGTCATGAGATATCCAAAATGATCGATATATATATATATATACATCACCTGAAATAAGCTGCAACCATCGCTACCCACCGATCGGCTAAGGAATGGGCCGCCGGCCAAAGGAACCAGGACTAGCAACCAAACCCAGCTTCCTGGTGCCGGGCTTGGATGGTTCATGATGTTTAAAATGTGCCTTCTAACTATCACCAGCCATAGTATTCATAGGCTTAGTTCATGATGTTTAATAGTTCATAGATGTTTAATAAGTTTAAAACATCATTATTAAACATGCAGATTTATATATATATATATATAATATGTTTAATATATGTCAGTAATATAACTTCTATCCAAGGTTTTGTTAAGGTGTGACACTGGTGATTTCAACCCATAAGCGCCTGCAACAAATGCTCTTCAGCAAGACGTCCGGATGAAACGCGTCTTAAGAGTTGACCGTTTGAAAGGATGCTCTGTAATTGAAATATCCGGATTTGTATTTATATATATAATATAATATAGCAACCCCAAAGTTTATGGAACGTGGAACGCCTGAAAATATAAGGTAGATATTATATCATCGAACTACGGAACATCCTGCAAACACTGTTCTATCTTTTTTGGGGCTGACATAGATCAACACATGAACAAATCGACATAAGATGCTGGACTAGAGAGGTGAGAAGGCTTTGAGGTATCTCTTGAGGGATGCTGGAAGTGGAAATGCTAAAGGTGGATAGCTATTGGAAATCGTTTATATTAGTTAAACCCCCCAAAAAACGACTTACATCCCCAAAAAAGTAGAACAGAAAATTTACCACTATTTTGAGTCGGGTTCAAAAATCCATCCCACTCCCATTCTATAGTCCCATTTGGAAGTGGTCTCACCCCCTACATCCACCATGGTTTCTGGGGAGTGGTTCATGTTGCGGAGGGTGGGATTCCTGCTTTTTTAGTTGTAAACCATGAAATCTCCCCAGCATCCCCATAACAGCCAGGGTAGCTGCAACACCAATGAAATCACCATCTTTTTGATGGAGTTAAATCCCATAAAATCATCATTTTCGGCTGGTGAAACTCCAACCACTGGAGGTCAGAGGTTTGGACTCCGCAAAAACATGGATGACCATGCCATTCCCTATAGCAACCCCCAAAAATAAACCAGTAAAACATAGTAAAACCATACTTTTAAACAGTTCACTGATGTTTTGATCTTTTTGGACTTTGCCCTTCTAAAACTGACTACCAGATACTACCAGTATTGGTCCCCCATAGAAAAAACATGGTCCCCATAGCCATTCCCGTAGCAGCCATTCCCGTCCTTGCGGCAAGCGGATCGCAAAGCCCTGTTCCTCCAAAGCACCAGTGCGACCTACGGAGAAACGGCGTGTTCAAAAAGGGACTAATGAACCTGCTGCAATTGCTGCAATTGAACTGACAAATAAGACCAAAACGGGGATTACAATTTTCCAGTGGGATGTAACCATTTAACATCATCTAACCATCAACCATGATGATTCTTTGTTCTTGAGTCTGTTGACCAACCGTATTGGAAACTATTTGCCTAGTGAAGCAGCTAACTTGAAGGTACGAGTACAATATGGTGTATACAATGTCTTGAGCTAGTGACAATGTTGGATAAGTAACAAACCCGTTCCTAGAACGTTTCCGCAAAAAAACAGGCCCATCAAACACAATCATGTGGAAAAAACAAGGCAAAGCTATTTGTCGCCCGAGATTCGCTACCTTTCACAATTTCACTCAGTCGTCCTGGAATATGGTGTTTTATCTTGTTCTTTTTTGCTGACAGATACATTTCTTTATCTATCTATATCTATCTATCTAATCTATTCTATTCTATTCTATTCTATTCTCATCTCATCTCATCTCATCTCATCTCATCTCATCTATCTATCTATCTATCTATCTATCTATCTATCTATCTATCTATCTATCTATCTATCTGTTGTATATATATATATATATCATACGAATGCAAAACAGTGTGTATCTGTAAATAATCAACTAAATCCGCCCACCCTCTTGGGAATCAAACCAAGCAATCGAAAACCTCCGATTACTTCGGTGATCCTTTCCATTCAAATGTCCATTTACTTCAAAGATTTCCCAGCCGGCCCTGTTTGATTATCGAAAGGTGTGTATATATATATACATAAAACACATCATATATATATATATATATTATATATTATATAATATAATATAATCATCCTTCAGTAAATAGAACATGAGCTCCCCAAAATCATCACTCAAACAAACTAGAATATCTTTGACTCATATCCATAGTCTCCAGGCCGTGCTGCGAGCGGTGCGAGCGGCCTGCTTCCGTGGTGCTGGTGGATGTGGTGGTCTCCTCCTTGTAGAAAATCTCTCGCTCGAGAATCACCGGACAGCCCTAGGGCCAATAGAACAACACAGGGCTGTCCTCCAGAGAAACAGCAGGTTGACAAAGGTTCATAATGGTTAGATGATAGTGAGATGATGGCTAAACAGTGGTTGTGGATAAACATCACTTGAACTATCATCATTCGGTTGAATGATGGTGAAAACAAGTTTGAACATCACTTTCTAATACCTTTTAGGGGTGCTGAGCTTTCATGTAACCATTATCTAAGAATATCTAAGAACTTTTTTGGTAATGCTTGATACCCCAAAAGTGCGGAAATAGAAAGACATCCCTTAGCAAAGGGGAAAAATGGGAACAACGTTGTGCAGACACCCGAAGTTTGAAATGGACAATTAGTTTCCGACCGGTTTTTGTTCCTAAGAAACGTGATTGATTTTAGTACTTCATCATTCCATTTGATCATTTGGTGGTAAAGTCCATGTTCAGTTGGTTGAACCAGCCATTGTTGCGAATTAAATTGGAGGATCAACCCACATATGACTGGGATATAAGTCTACCAGTTGCAATTGGTGGGGTGATCACCATCGGTAAAGTATCCAGTGCCTACCCCGAAGTCTGCTGCCACATGATCTGCAAAATGATTTGCGGGGAATGGCTCAGGCCAAAGGACTCTGGGCGTGCATGCTCCTTCCTCACCAGGTGCAAGTGACCAAATGATGAGGGTGGATCCACATGTTTCCCATCCGCCATTGATTTCGATGATTTTCCTAGAAAAAAATAGACACTTCCATTTAAAGGGATTTCCGATTGCCATGTTTCATGACCAGGGTAGTTCCAAAAGTCAGTGTGTGTTTACGAAAATAGGTCACCAAAGTAACTGCTTGGGGGTTGACTCAGTCCAGAAAGACCAGAGCAAATCGGACAATCATCCTCTGTCCTGATCCGGTTCAACTCAGCAGCCCACCATCAACCAAGATAGCCGCGATACACTGCTCGAAGTCTTGTATACATGTCCATGAAATACAAGGAGAATATCTGTGAATATCCCCTTTCACACACATGACATGATGCAATCCCTGTCCCGGAGTCCTCTCTACAACAGTATTCAGTGATGCCAGAGCAAAGCGTATCGCACCTCATCCAGTGGCAATGCTTTTCCCCATGCCCCATCGATGGAAAAAACATGAAAAAACCCTGATCTCTCAATCTGCACATGGATAATCAGTGTGGATACCAGCAAGGTTCTTGTGACAGTTTTTATCCCAGTCACTGCATGGATGCTCGAATATAGCTATCAATAACAATAATTGTAATAATCTTAACCGTAGTACCAATATGTACGTACTAATAGTCATACTAGTAGTAATTGTTGCAGTAAAGTCAATAAATACGGACAAATAAACATCACATCAACAGCAAGCGTAATAACAACAGCAGCAACAACAGCAACAACAACAACAACAACGATGACGACGACCACAACAACAACAGCAGCAACAACAACAACAACAACGACAACGGCAACGACAACGACAACGACAACGACAGCGACAACGAGAACGACAACGACAACGACAACACACACACACACAAAAAAAACAAACGTTAACAATAATAACATAAAAATAACAATCATGTATCTAACATCAAATATATATATATATTATTATTATATATTATTAATTGTCACTACTATCCATTTAGAATTCCTGAGATGCAATGCAAGAACCGGGCCCATCCACCGTATCTCGCCATCTCGGCGAGTGGCATCACTGGAAACTGCAAAGGACACTTCCCTCGTCCACGGTGATTTTCACAGCACGCCCACCTCCGTGGCCACGCGGTCTGAGGTTCCAATCAAACAGCTGTAGCGGCGCCATATTGCGCTATGAGTCAAACATAGTCAAACACTATTTCGATCTATTTCGGATTGGTCTTGAAAGCCTAGGGATACCAACTCCAAGCCCAACTATTCACCATCCAACATCCTTGCCAAGTTGCTGTTTCATCCCTTTGAAACTTCATTGCACTTGCGCTCACGCACGTCCCAAAGTAGGATCCTCTATGAGCCTTTTGAGATTTCGCTACATCCTCAAAATTCCGAACTCATCTTCGGATATCAAGTCCGATTCCGATCTAATGCATGTTCTTTTCCGTCTGTTTGGTGATGTCATCACATCTTTCCCACTGCATCATGGCACCCCTCTGTGGCAATGTTGCAGCGATGTCCATTCAGACCTCACATGCGAAGGCGCTTGCCAAATTCAATGGATTGGAAGGGAAAATCTTCACAGGAAACCATGGGATAAAATGGGGGGGTGTCCGACGTACATTTCCTCAACATCAACGGGAGAAATCACCGACTACATCCGACTACCCTGCTCACAACTCGGCGGCCAGACATTCCATCATGTTCAATTCACCCGAATGGTTCCTTAGAGCGCGCTTCACTGTTCCTTGCAACGACTAGTCTCTGCTTGAAGGGTCTTCAAGGCCATTCCTTTGAGATATGTTCATGAATCAACAATCGCATTGTGAAGCTGGGGGAAAATAACTTTGGCAACACGGAGCCACTAAAGCAATCCGGCACTGCAGAAATCTTAGCGATATCCTTTCAGCAATCCTTCACGAAACGTCTGTCACCAGTTCAAGGCTTGATGTCTCATGGCTTCCAATCCGGAAGAATCCCATTTACAAAATGCACTGCAATTTGATAGAACTTCCCAAACGAATGGTATGGAACCATGGCCAAGCTTCAATATTCCTTGCAAAGTGAATCTCTACTGGGATACAAGTATTATATCCTCCCGCGAACTAACAGTTCGATGTGGCAATTCCACCATTTGCAGATCATGGATTCCTTACAAAAGCCATAGGTTTTCCACATCTGCTTGTACGTTTACCCTAGGGTATATGTGTGTATACTCAGCAAATTCCTCCATGAAAATGGCTTAGGCTGCAAGAATCACCCCCCTCTCCATGCCATTCCCGGCCAAGTCGCTTCCAGGGACAGGGCGAATTCTCTGGCAAAACCTGGTGCACATCCGGGTCATGGGGAAAGATCTTTGGGATTTGTCGATCAATAGACCAATTTAGTCACAAAATACCATAAAATAACCGGAGGGTACACCAAAGATATATCATAAATCTAGATCAGATCCAATGTACTGAACTACAGGGATTGAATAAGTAAGGATATGCAAAGATCAACATATTATAAACATATTATAGCATACTATAACATATTCTAACTAGAGAAAGAATATTCTGACACCAATCATTCACCAACCTGAAAACAGGTCCAACTTGCTCTGGACTTGACAAGTGAATTCGGAACAGAAATCAAAGAAAACTTCCTGAAAACTAACATAGATATAGGAAACCCGCCGTTTGTCAGTGTCCTAAAACATCCTAAAACCATGACTGTGCTCAATATTTTTCTCAGGGCAAATCCAATGTATATAAACCAACGCGGAAGCTGCAAAAAAAAGTCCTGTATCTGAGATGAAGTTCACTTCATTTCTAGTGGATGTGGCAGCTTCCATCCACTTGAAATAGACACCATCACATCCATACCAAGGCAAATTCCATTCAAATTCCCCCAGGGGATCCTCGGGGATCCCTTTGCGCTTGCGCCTGTGAGATCTGCATGCCCAGACCTGGTCGTTACATGATTTTGATGGGATCAGTGGGATCCAATGGATAATCAGCAGTGAATGCTCATTGTCCATTCATAAATCGCATTATGATCATTAGCATATCATTAGCTAGTGAATGATCACTAATGATCATTTTAAGTCGCTCTGGTCATGACTAGTGACTAACACATTGTCCACTGCGAATGCGTTGAATGGAAGGGCTGAAGGGAGATAAAGGACTCATCAAAGCATGTAATGAACATCGAAATCCCGGTCCCCTGGTTTTCACACCCAAAATCCTCCTTTATTCATGGACGATCATCGCCCCAAAAATCGTAGGGTCAACCCTTTCAGCTAGTTGTGTTCCTTTTAGTCTGATTGGGTCCCAGTTATTTGACGCATGTCATATTGTAGTGTGGAACACCCAATGCAAAACCATGCGCAATTTGGAGTCCCTGAAAACATACAAGAACAGGGATTGATCGACCATGCAAAGTCATTAGTAAATCAATCTGTTTGAAAGCTTTTGAACCCCCTGATTTTGTTGGGATAGGCATGGTCAACGAAACATTTGGCAGTACCAAATCTCACCATGACTCTGACCTATGACCCTAAAACACATCTGCCTGATTTCGGTTGGTTGCCTCTGGTTTGGTTGGAGGATATCACCAAGAAAATCCGGTCAACCAACTGTTTTTAGGCACACGATGGCACACGGTAAATTGTAAATAAATGGAATCAACATAGTAATTGGATAAGAAATTGATTGATCGTTCTAATCATGTTCACTTGGAGTAATTCAATCTTTTTCAATGATTGATCATTGATTGACAATGAAAGCTACTGGAAACCATTCCCATCATTGTCTTATCACTTTTCCATGATTTTCCCATCATTGTCATTCATTGTCCCTATTCAAATGGCCATAGTTGGGGCATCAATCCCGATCTGCCGCAGCTTCCCATGTTGAGCCGCTCACATTCCATGGGACCAGGCAACTTCGTCTCCCTGAGGGCGAAGCAACAGTAAACCATGGCTTTCCAACCATCCAAGAACCATACTCTTGTCCTGGATTCTAGCACTTTTCCCTTACAAATCCAAAAGAAATCATGACTTCATGGTCCCCTCATGGTTTTTTAAAGCCACTTCTACCAGCTCCCAAACCAGCTCCAAAATCTGCAGCCCGAGCGGCGCGCAGGAGGGATGCAGCCTTCGGGCGGCAAAGGCATCGCAGAGTTCCGAGTCGCACGCCTGGGTGGGACGGGGGAACCAGGGGACCAGGCGGGCTCAGTTCGTTGAAAAAAACATCCAATCACTAGGGCCACTAAGGATCATGGTAGATATATGCTAGATATATCTATAGTTAATATTAGTTACTGAGGGTTATAAACTATTATAAAGCAACTTAATCCAACTTGGTTTAGAGGGTTTGTGGTATAAATGGCATATTTGTAGTGAATGAGGGTCAGAAACCAAGTTACACAACTGGTGAAAAGTCATTCCTTCAACCAATGTCGCCACCGAGAAACCGGATCTAAGGTCCAGTTGGAAATTCCCAACCTGGCAGGAAGCCGTGCGGTCTGCTTGTTAGTTTGTCTTAGCATATGACCGTTGCTGAACTCTACTTGGTGGCTCATCCCACTTAGTAAGTGGGTTATAACCCCAGTTATAAGTGGGATAACCCTACTTATCCCATTTATAACTGGGGTTATAACCCACTTACCAAGTGGGATGAGCCACCAAGTAGGGCTTCCCAATCCCAATACAACACAGTTCTTTTGAAGTGTGAAGGCTTCAACCTCATCTCAGTGTATTGGTCAAGAGAAATCATAGCTGACTATGGGTCGAAACTCTGGTAGTCTACTGAACACCAGATGGGATTTATGGATGTTCGTTTCCACCAAATTCCAGGCAATTTTGCACGGGCCACGTCACGGGCCCAATCTCTTCTCCAAGTCATTGGTGTCAAAACAAGAAACACAAGCCGCACTTAAGAGAAACGAATCCGTGCATCTATTGTTGCATATATTTTCTGTTTGATTTTTTCCTGAACATACAAAAGACCAGCCACAAACTCATCAACAGCTTATCAACAGCTTCCAGCCACAAAATCAGTGCCTGCCAAAAAGGAGGTAGGAATCAATGACCACCGGACATTGGATGCTGTCATAGGGCTGGATGTCAGACATCGCCTCACAAAAGATCATTGGGCCCAGTTTCCACCGTTGCTAATGGGAGATGGACATGGGACATGCCTAGAAATTGTGAGAACAGCTTAAAACCAACAAATGCTGTACAGCCATTGAATGTGATATTACGCAATTGTCCATGATTTTCAGTTATTTTCATGTTGTCAGATCATTCATCAATTCTAGATGGTGCACTGTCATCTGATTTCCTTTGTTAAGTACCATCTTGTTATTTAACATAGCCATGGAAAATCACCATTTTTAAGAACGGTCCACCATCTATTTCGATTAGGGCCATCTATGCCATGGCTATGTTAAATAACCAGATGGTAACATACTCATAGATGCACTGGCAAATCATTGGGACATCATTGGGACCACATTGGACTGTTCTGCAGATTGGGACGGGAAAACCTACAGGAAATCATATTGTCTTCACAAATGCCGGGTGTTCCGGCAACAAGTCCCTTCATCCAATTCCCAAATACAATGGCAGTTCATCTCCTGTAATTATTTGTGTGTTGAAGGTGGAGCAGCGGGCTAGTGTTTTCCATCTTCCTGAATGATTTGTGCTCATTGGATTGTAAATATGTTCACTTATCTTCACAAGGGAACGACAGGGGCAGAAAATGTTGGTAAAAACCAACCAAGGGTTGAGAACCTCATGTTTACTCGCGAAACATGTGCCATTCCACATTGACAAACCCATACGAATTGACGGCGCACGATCACAGACATGATGGCTCTTGAACGCGGGTTTTACGCTGTGTACATGTGTGGGGCAGTCAGAAGTATATTCATATCACATGTATATTATATATATATATGTATATATATACCTACATACATATATGTATATATATATATATATATATATTTATTAACCCTGGTAAGCACTTTGCAATATGTAAAATGATGGGAGTTGTGTGGGCAGGAAAAAACATCATGATTAACCATAAACACATCAACATATGTAGAACGTGCAAATTTCTGCCATACCTGTGCTTTCTAAAGCAACCCCAATTCCCCCAGCTATTTCCTGAGCATCATCGGTCTTCTCCAGCCGAATCGCATGGCCACAAGGAAATTTTGATCATTGAATCATTTTCCAGGTGATCCAAAACTCCCAAATCCCAATAAGTCCCACATGTTGTTGTTTTTTTTCTCTGCTTTGATGAATTTTTGACTGACAACACCTGGCAAAAAAAGTCGAGGCCCTGAGGCTTTCTGTTTCCACGTGGCGGCTGGGGCCACCCGGCTGGACACAAACAGTCACAAAAGCTGATGACCTCATGGGGAGATTTCCAAGGCTATCTCCGATTTTGGGGCCACATTGGGAAGATGCTGATGTCCTAAGATATACGATATACGTTTGTAGCGTCTACTTATACATATAGATATATACACGTACACTATGTGTAAAATCTGTAAATATAGAATATCATATATGTGTATACTTAGTTGTGTGTGTGTCTAAACGAGAGAGATCTAAAGCTGAAATAATCCTTATTGTAGGGATTCTAATCCATCAACAAAATCCACCACCCCGAATCAGGGTCATTGGGGTTCAGACATAAACAATATCCCTCCGGCAAACTGACATGGACATGGCATATGATAACAATATTATACCCCAGCTGTATTATAGATGAACTATTGTCAGTTCCATTTAAAGTGTCACCCTCTGGTAATCAATTGTGGCAATCTAAAATTCATGAAAATTCACCCTTCATAAATGATGTTCCCACCTACAGTATAAACTTCCATCTAGGGCCTACAAAAAATAAGATGGTAGGCATACAAGTAGATCAGTCTGTACTTGGTGCGGCACATCCAAACGCTTGGGGCATTCTGCTCGATTGCTGTAGAGGTCCAGAGCAGCCACATTCTGCAGGAGGGTTGAATCATGAACATTGGATTTATTGGTGTTTCATGTTTAAAAAAAAAGACAAACAAATACATCCCATCGCCCAACAATATCCAGTACCCCGCAAATGAACACATCCAAAACTAAAATAGAGGTGCTACGAGAGCTAAAATAGATTAGATTAAGGGAAGTTCTACAACAACACACAAATGTGTCCCAGAAATCTTGCCTTCAGCCAATTCTGGGAATATTAGTGGATTGGTTGAACCATAAAATCATATAACATGTGAGGATATATGAGGGATATGTTTATTTCAATTTCCAGCGCAAAAGCATGGATTGTCTTAATAGGGGAAACGATCCACCGTCTTTAGAGCATGATAAATGTGGAGTGACCAACACTTCAGTGCTCTGGATCTCTGGAACAGGGGTGAAAATTCTGGAGATCTGACTTGACATGACTTGACCATGACTATTGAAACCTATGACCTATGGTGATGCCAGGGGATCCCCTATGACTTAAGAAACGACCAAATGAAACCCTACAAGCGGTAATGAATATGCAAGTCCTCGGGCTTATGCGAAAATCTTAGCAAGGCGAATTACAACCTCTAGTCTGGTGTTTCCCCTCAACAACATAACAACATAACAACTACGTGCAAAATTGTCAAAATCGCATGTCTCAAAATGGACAATGCCCCAAAGAATCCCCAAATAAACGGTTTCGACGGCTGAAATAATAATATGTAGATCATGACATGGCATTTCACATCACATGGTGAAATCGCAGGTCTCTGCCAGCTCTGAATTGACACCTGGCATCTTACCAATTAACAACAAGTGCACCATCAAATTCCCTTGCCCTTTTCTACATATCCCTGAGCTGATCTTGCACGGCAGAGCTATCGCCACCACGATCTGGATCGCCCCAAGTAATGACAGATCCATCTGCCAAGATAGCAGCAAATGCGAAAGATGTGGCATGAACCTGCTGCACATTCCCGAGCTGACCTTGCACGGCAGAGCTATCGCCACCACGATCTGGATTGCCCCAAGTAACGACAGATCCATCTGCCAAGATAGCAGCAAATGCTAGAGATGTGGCATGAACCTGCTGCACATTCCTGAGCTGATCTTGCACGGCAGAGCTGTCACCACCATAAAGTGGGTTGCCCCAAGTAACGACAGATCCATCTGCCAAGATAGCAGCAAATGCTCGACCTGTGGCATGAACCTGCTGCACGTTCCTGAGCTGATCTTGCACGGCAGAGCTATCGCCACCACGATCTGGATCGCCCCAAGTAACGACAGATCCATCTGCCAAGATAGCAGCACATGCTCCACCATTGGCGTGAACCTGCTGCACGTTCCTGAGCTGATCTTGCACGGCAGAGCTATCGCCACCACCATCTGGATCGCCCCAAGTAACGACAGATCCATCTGCCAAGATAGCAGCAAATGCTCCACCTTGGCGTGAACCTGCTGCACGTTCCTGAGCTGATCTTGCACGGCAGAGCTATCGCCACCACGATCTGGATCGCCCCAAGTAACGACAGATCCATCTGCCAAGATAGCAGCAAATGCTAGACCTGTGGCGTGAACCGCTGCACGTTCCTGAGCTGATCTTGCACGGCAGAGCTATCGCCGCCATCATGTGGATCGCCCCAAGTAACGACAGATCCATCTGCCAAGATAGCAGCGAATGCACAATCTGCGGCCTGAACCTGCTGCACGTTCCTGAGCTGATCTTGCACCGCAGAGCTGTCACCACCATAAAGTGGGTTGCCCCAAGTAACGACAGATCCATCTGCCAGGATCGCAGCAAATGCACCCCATGCGGCCTGAACTGCTCCACATTCCTGAGCTGATCTTGAACTTCAGAGCTGTCACCACCAGAACGATCGCCCCATGTCACGATCCTATCACCTCCATGGCACCAGATAGCAAAAGCTCCGTCTGTTGCCGCCATCTTTGCTTGTTGCACAATGGCTGTCAGGTGATCTCCCTCCTTCAGCCCTGCCGCTTGGAGGAACTGGTTCGGATCAGCCAGGATGTGCCCCTCTGCAGTGACAAGCCTCAGGAAGCCTTGTTCAAAAGACTTCTGGGCCAAACGCTTCAAGTCCCCAACCTTGGAGGACTCTGCGATGGACAAACTGTTCCGTTTTCCACTCGGCAAAGCTACGTTGACTTGCAGCATCAAAGCAACAATCAAAAGCGACACTTTATCTCACACATCTTGTTGTTCTATAGAAATCTCGAGCCAAAGTCACATGAGCATGGTCTGAGCCCAAGACTATTGATTCTGACAAGTTTCTAAAATCAAGTACCCACCAAATGCCTCTGATTGGAGGGAAGGACACCTGCATTGCTTTACTAGAAGAACCAAAACCCTTGAAAAGTCAGGGCCAATGAAAAAAACCAGGGTTTTAACAGAAAACCTAGGTTGTTTAAAAAAAACATGTTTATGCTTCATAGTCCTATGCTTTTGACCATGGCACATATTAATGTACATCTGTCACTATCTGTCGATATCTGTCAATATCTGTCATATTCCCCTATCTGGCCAGCCATCCCTTACCAAACTTGCAGATGAAGATTGCCTTGGCTGCTTCACTTTGTGCTTCAGGGAGTGCAACGGGATAATATCATCATCATCATCATCATCATCATCACCATCACATCATTATATAATAATAACCATAATTCATAATTATCTATACTGCAATTGTTGGGACATATTGGGACAACTTAGAACACACATGCTGTTGAGAATTGTAGCTTTACAGTCTTCTAAAGCTGTGAATTGGTAGAGCGGCCAAACCAGCAACCCTGCAACCTCACACTTTCGATAAACCATGATTAATTATCATGATTCTAAGCCTAGTTTTCCCATTTGGGGAGCGGCCCAACTTGGCATCGTCTCACCTCGCATCCGGACAAGATGTATGTGTAGTCAAATGGCACCTTAAACGCCTGGCTCAATCAACCAGGGACCAGGTCCATTGGTGAAGGAGTTGGGTACAGGTGAATCATATGACTACAGGGTAAGGCCCCCGTTCAATAGCCAAGTTGACGCACAGATCTGATGAATTCTATGGTTGCTTAGGGAGATACAACTTAAAAGTTCATGGTGTATGTGTGACTCACATGACATAGAATATGTTGATTTTATCTGGTTGGTGGTTTCAACCCCTCTGAAAATTATGAACGTCAGTTGGGATTACTATTCCCAATATACGGAAAGTCATAAAAGTCATGTTCCAAACCACCAACCAGTTATGGAACTCTGTTGGAAGGTGCTGAAATATCTCGAAAAAACTAACATCTCTGGAAATCTGCTATGTCACCTGCCGGGACTTGCGGCAAGAAGCCTCCGCCCTGCATACATCCACATAATTGGCTCGGCTTCTTTTGACATTGACATGTTGATATGGTATTAACTTCTAATCAACCCGGCTTTGACATTCAAAAGGAATATGGGATCATAATAATTGGGATTATAAACTGATGTTCCATTGAAATGATGATACGAGATTCCCGCCTGTTCCACAATTACAATCCCATTCCATCCCAAAAATGATAGGAACTACATGGAATTACATGGAATTATCAGATTCCATTCTATCCCCCAGTTTGCCATGATAATTCATGATACAGCATATATGTAACTATACGTCTATATGTATCTCATGTTTGTTTCTATTACGTATGTTTTACCATCCCTGTTTGGGTACAGAATGTCGGGCTATAATCATCCCATTCTCATCCATTCTCACCCATCCCCAGGTTTGGATCGCCACCAAGCTTTCCAAAATTTTCCAACAAACCTGTCCTATGAAGTTTTTAAAGAAAAAACACAGCCAGAGGTGACATCATCCAACATCCCATGCTCAATCTTTGATCTTTGGTAGTCCACCAAAAAATGTTTGCTGTTATGGATATGTTCCATATAGCAGCATAAACAAAGGAATAAACTCACCATCCGTTGGTTGGAAATGCAACATGGTATAATCATCCAGAGATCATCCATGATATTCCAAAATTCTCCACATATGTTTGATAATCATTGATAATCCATTACTAAATGATCATGATATGAACCCAACAATGGATGATCTTATTCCAATCATCTGAATCCATCCATTTGCTAATATCATCTCAAAAATGATTCCATAATGGTATTTTTAGTTCAATAAGATCTAAACCCACCTTAATCATAGTTATACGATAATCACTGGTTGGTGGTTTGAATCCCTCTGAAAAATATGAAAGTCAGTTGGGGTTACTATTCCCAATATATGGAAAATTATAAAGGTCATGTTCCAAACCGCCAACCAGATCATCATCTACCAGTTGAAGTCCTTTTAACCAACCCCACGTCCCCCCGGTCCCGGTCGCCTGAGGGATCAAGTTTCTGGGCCGCATGCGCCATGCGAACTGGCTGTACATGTCACAGAGGTTCGTCCTGAAAAAAACGGAACCCAGATGGAAATCCAGAAATTTGATATACTTGGGGAAAAGGAACATGGAATATCAATTTGGAAAATAACTAAGATTAAGGGATATCATTGGGATTTAAGTGATAGAACGAAGAATTGGGATGAAGAACTATGATTTTTACGGGACAGAATTGGGATAAATCCTGGGATATAACCACCATCTCTGGGATGAAACTGCTGAACATGGTGAATTTGTCCACTTTCAACCCACAAAGTAGACCTGTGTTTCAATAATGAAGACTGGAAGGCTTTCTCATCTCTGCATTTTCAGGAGATTGATATTATGTATGTATATATCATGCGTATGTGAAAATTTCAGATTCTGTGAATTTGGATAAAACTGCTGCCCATGATCTGTAGCCAAGAGAGCTTTTGACACCAAGATTGGATGGCTCAAAACAAAAGACAATCTAATTGACATAGATAACCGGTTACCAAGCGTCTTAAGTCTTCAAATGCAACATTATTCAAACCAGCTTACCTGAGACTCTGACACACATTCTTCTTGAGTGGCGAAAGCACAGCCTCCAAATACTCACAGGGGCAAAGGATGAGATGCCATCGAGTTTGTCTGCGCCACTTATTCATGCCTGACTGCCAACATGATGCCGTGTCAAAGTTGAACATAGGAGTTTTATAACATCCGTCTCGGATGATCTTTGAAACCGGCTCATCAAAACAAACTACTACTATGCTGGAGTACGGAGAACGCATCTTTTAAAAAATGGAATTGTATCGTCACATGCCGCACTTCTGCAAAGTTTATTGCACATGTCCGATTCAGCAAGTGTCCAGTAGTGGTTGAAGACATGGTTTTCGAGAGTTTGTTCAATCAGAATTCACCAGTGACAAATTGTGCAGCTTGTTGATGGGAAGCAGCCAGCCTCCGTCCACCAACGTCGGTCTATTGACTGTGGTCATTAAAGCCAGCGTATTACATGTGGGCCTCGTGTGGACCCAACGGGCTACTGGGAGGAACATCCCAGTCAGAAAGCGGTTGGTAAACCCATGTATATGTAAACCCATATGCATATATACATTTTGTATATACCCACTATATAGTTTTTAGATAAATATATACATTCATATATGGCATAGTATACAGGTATTTCGAGTCCTTTGACTGGCGCTAATCCACTCGCAACTTGCGAAACTGACCTTGTGAAGGGAATCTGTGAGCCCCTTTATGCCCCTTTAGAACAGTAATGCTCATCCGAATAAGGTTTTGCCAGGGACTTTTGAACATTGAACCTTCAAAATAATGACACTCCGGAAATCAAACATGGCAATGGAGAAATCAATAAAAATCACCTATTGATGGGTATTAAAATGGGACAATCATCGAATAAATTAAATTTGGTGATTTTCCAGCAAACCAAGTTTGATTACTAGAGTGGATGAAAAGATGGTTTATCTAGTGGATATCTCGTCCAAGATGATCGATTTATCCGATGGATTCAATTAAAAGTTTCTTGGACGTTAGCTTCAAATCTAGTCTTGAAACAGGACCACGCTAAATGGCTACATCCCCGAGAAAATGGGACCAACTATGGGTCATTTCTAGCCCAACGACTTTTGCTACAAGAAGAAAACACGTGGAATGCGGAAAAGGACTGCAAATGTTTCAATGTACAACATGGTACCAGCAGTGATGCTTGTTGGTTTATAGCCCCATTGGCTAGTTTGATCTGGTCAACCATAAACCCACGAATTGTTTGATTTATTTGCACCAACTTGGTATCTTAACGAGCGATGGAAGAAGTGTGGTCAGCTGAGGCTGGGACATTCGTTCCAAGTTCAGTCCAGCATCGATCATACTGCACATGACCTGGGGACAAGTGATGGGGGAAGTAGCAAATGTGCAGCACGCGTTTAATATGCATAGATATACATAGACTTTTGGTATCTATAATAAAAAATACAAGGTATAAATATATATATGTATATATATATATATGTACGATAGATACATATTAGCACGCACACATAGGTTTGCATGTATAGTATACATGTAGATTGCAATCACCATGGGTTGATGATGATGTGCAAGTGTGTCAGTCACCAGAAACCCTCACCACAGGTGTTGCAGTTGATTTTATCATCAAAGGGACAACTGCTATAGCGTTTTATACGTCTTCTATCTATACTAATATATTGGCTACGTATGATATGTATGCATATACAGAAATACTACATATGACATACATCATATATGTCATGCTAATACACATGAGGTGGGATTCAGTGCGGCAAAAACGTTGATGTCAAAACTAATAAAATTCCAGCCACGTGGACAACCCAAACCTATAGAAATGCTGAACAAATAAACAATTGGGCGCTCAAAACACATGCAAGACAATGTTGCAAATGTGCACTGTGGTGAAGCACATAATCGATACCATCGATACTCATATATATATATATAAATTGAAATGGGTATATTCATGTATACTCCACAAACTAAAAACTTTGGAACATCATTTAGACAAATTAAAAATCATTTGGGAATATACCACCAACCAAAGACATGTAACATCAATACACAATACAGTCATATTCCACCAACCATGTCGAGATATTTTTCCACAAACACCAGGGGTATTTTCCCATCTGAGCTTTCCAAACTCCCAGTTCCCAGGTCTCGTCCGCCACGCGGGTTTGGAGCCTCCAATGTTTGAGGGTATGGAAAGATCACAGGCTATCATGGGCCAGGTTTGGAGCAGGGATGGAGGAGGGTTTCCATGTCGAACTGTTCTGGCTCTAGAAATTCTCTGGTGTTCTCAAAATTTCTCAAAGCTCTACCTCAGCAACACTAAGAGCGCCCAATGGGATCAACACTAAGAGGATCTGATCAGAGATACATTCCCTCTGGGAGATGATCCTCAATAAGCAATAAGCAACCGTTATATTTTTGGTGGGGCCATTGCTCCCCTGCATGCCAATCATGACAGGGCCACTCTCGATAGAACACCGTGCACACGCCAGGCCTAGGACAGGACATCACTCTTTGCTGTGGCTAACAACACCCCAGATACCAGGGCATTGGGACAGCTTTATCAACTTTGAATCCCAAACATCATGGTTTTTTCTTCCGATTCACAAAGGGATGACATGGCCAAAAATCACATGGAGCCTCAGCTCTGTCAGATATAGTAATTCGTTTCCCGCACATGTATTGAAACGATCACAAACGCCAGCAAAAAACAAAAATGGTCATGCATGCTGTTCTGTAAGAGCAACCACCATTCACTGTTCTCGGCATCTGGACCCTTGAACTCCTCACTTCAGGGTTGCGTGCAGCTATGCCAGGCATTTACATTTGGCAATACAAATGCAACACTAAAATCACAATTTTCCTGCCTTCTAGAGATCATTTACATCAAACAAGTTGTAGCGGCAATGCATGTTCATAGATTTTGCAAACATGCCTGGAAGGTACATTCCAATTTCCGCTGGTTAGACCGCCCATTTTCCAAATGAAATCCACATGAGAGCCCTTAAAAATATGCCTATCGAATCTCATTGCGCTACCTGTTTGATAGGTTTCCCTAATATGGGTTATATATAGTAAAACTCCTTTGAGTAACCATGAGCAACCAGTGTTTACTGGTTCATGTCGAATTTTTGATGATTTTTGTATCCGTTGGAATTTCCTCCAGGCGCCAGGCAGTTCCGCCAAGTGGCCAGTTGCCAGTCTGTGCACATCCATTGCGCAGGGCTGATGGATTCTGAGGGGCGAGACTGATGCGGGTCTCACGCCATCAACAGCCATGGTGTTCCAGGGTATTGGACCGAAATACTGATCATTTGTCCGGAAGCATGAAAGTCCACTTTTCAAAACAACCAACCAAGAGCAACCCAAAGGCCAATTGACGATCGTAAAAACTTGACATGTCCTGATTTGCTATCCATAGGGTTTCGTCCAAAAGTGGCCCGACTCATTGCTCACCACTCCAAAATGATGGTGATGGTGATGGTGATGGTGATGGTGATGATGGTGATGGTGGTGATGATGATGATGATGATGACGACGACGATCGACTTAATTTGGGGGTGCCACCCATTGTCAGACATGACAAAGCGGTAAATGTCAGATAAATACTGAATACACATGATGTCAACCACACCTGGAAAGTTGAACGTACCCCAAGAGTAGTCCCAGGTCTGTTGCGTTTCCCTAAGGCTCTTGCAGCTTCAAAGGCCAGCCAAAAGTCCTGGAGGGTCGCAGCTGTGCTGGATGACACCCCCTCCCAGGAAGAAAATAGCGGCAGGTGCACCATGGTGGTGATTGTGTGGTGCTTAGATTTTGTGCCTACAGGAGGTTTCACCTTAACTCACGAACTTCAGGCATCAGCATCGCCATCTGGCGAGGGTGCATGACAACTCTGCTGATCCCTGACTGTTTTGAGGCCCCTGTGCTTTACAGTGGGAAGGTGAGGGAAAAGCTCGCGCATCATTTTGCTACAAATTCCGAAGCTGATTTTGGACCCCGGAGCTGTCCCCACCACCATGTGGATCACCCCAAGTAACCACCGATCCATCTGCTAGAATCGCGGCGAAAGCACTCTCAGTGGCTTGAATCTGCTGTACACTCTGCAGCTGATCTTGAACTGCAGAGCTCTTACCACCCGAAAGTTGATCGCCCCATGTTACTACGGATCCATCTGCCAGAATTGCGGCAAATGCAGAGTTTGTAGCCTGGATATGCTGCACATTCCGGAGCTGATCATGAACCTGAGAGCTGTCGCCACCAGAACTAGGATTGCCCCAAGTAACCACTGATCCGTCTGCCAGGATGGCAGCAAATGCACAGGTTGTGGCCTGAATCTGGCGCACACCCTTGAGTTGACTTTGGACACCAGAGCTGTCACCACCAAAAATCGGATGGCCCCAGGAGATCGCTGATCCATCAGCCAAAATGGCAGCAAATGCCCCATCCACTGCGGCCTGGATTTCTTGCACGTTCTTGAGCTGATCCCGGACTTCCAAGATATCACCACCTAGGGCGACATGGCCCCATGCCACCACCGATCCGTCAGCCACAACAGCAGCAAATGCTCGGCCAGTGGCTTGAATCTTTTGCACGTTCCGCAGCTGATCTTGGACTGCAGAGCTGTCGCCGCCCGACTCTGGATTGCCCCAGGTCACTACTGATCCATCCTCCCTGATGGCAGCAAATGCACCATTTGTGGCTTGGATGTGATGTATGTTTGTGAGCTGATCATGGACTGGAGAACTGTTGCCCCCAAATCGTTCATCTCCCCAGGCTACAACTGAGCCGTCTGCCCGGATCGCAGCAAATGCCGCCAGCGAGCTCTGTACATGGCAGACATTCTTCAAGTGTTCCTGAGCCACCAAGCCATAACGCACCGTTGAAGGGCTACCCCAAGTCACCACCGAGCCGTCGGCCCGGATCCCGGCGAAGGACCACTGTGTGGCCTGAATCTGCTGGACATTTGTCAACTGACCCTGTACAGGTGAGCTGTCGCCACCTGACAGATGATGACCCCAGGTGGCCACCGATCCATCTGCCTGGATCGCAGCAAAGCCGCCCAGAGAGGCCTTGATCCGCTGGACACTCTTCAAGGATCTGCCAGACACGTCAGCAGTGCACTCTCCATCACCCCAGGTCACTAGGTGATCACCACCGCAGAACCAAAATGTGAAGGCACCTGAGGAAGCTGAAATCTTGGCTTCAAGTGCGATGGCTGTGACCTGATCTCCATCTTGAAGTCCAACTTCTTGCAAGGCCTGGAGACTGTCAGCCAGAACCTCTCCTTTTGCAGTGGCCAGTTTCAAAAACCGTTGTCTCAAAGCCTTCTGGGCTAAAATCCTCAAATCCCCAACTTTGGAGGACAGTGGAAGCGAGATGTCTTCGCTACAGCCACTGGGTAGTATTACTTTGATCTGAAGCATCCTTGCTCACAAATGGCATAGACATGCAGCAAACCTCGAGCCAAAATTTCCAAGCATTTCGGTCGTGGGAGAACCATGCTCAACGTTTGCTCAACGTCATCCGACAGTATCACTTAAAGCTTGTCGATAACACATTGAACAGTAAGTGCACCAACCAGTTCTACAAACTTGTCGCTAACAACGTTACAATCTGTAGTGGTTCATCTAACTTTCCGTCGCTGACTCTCTTCTTGATACAGTATGGTATCCAATGGTCCGATCCAACATAGCTGTTGTGACAACCCCCAACATCAAACGTGCTTCCAGTGATTCCTTTCTGCTGTATATCTGCAGATTTTGGGTCTAGATGGTTCGCCTTCCATCTGAGAAAGGGGTCGAACATATCATCAAATATCTTTTGGGGAATCTAACGTAGCTTGTGGAAAATCAACATGTTTAAAAGATCCTAAAATGTTAGTCATATACATAGATAGGTCATGTTTCATAACTATGTTGAACTACCGTACCAACCGCAACTTGTGGCACCAGCCCATTTATCAGCTGACCCTGCAGTTGCGGCTGTCCTTGCACACTTGAGGCGGATGGGTGCAGTCAGTTTTGCAGTTGTTCACCAGATTTTGCATCCGTTGACCCACCTGGTGGTGTCATATCTGGAGCGGGACCCCTGCAGACCATCAATTCTTGTACTGTTTTTTAATGGCAATCCCGAATAAACACATGGATACAAATGGATCATATACCCTCGACCGTTTTTGGCTTGGATGCACCACCTTTATGTTCGAGAACATGCTCGCAAAGATTTCAAAGCGCAAAGCAGGTCATTTTGAGTCATTTTGATCAATATTTTGGTCAATACCCTTCAACATCCTTCAATCCTTGGTAGATTGTGCACCTCCATGTTTGGGTCGTAGGCCCTTGTGTTTTGTCAATCCATGCAAGCCGCAAATCTCAGTTGGACTACCTGATGTTATAGTTACTCTACAAGCACCATATATTGGGCAAGTGTTAATCATCCCGTGTGTCATTTAACTGCGCACACACGCACACCAACTTGATGAGGATCCACAAAATCATCAACCATCACATATATCATCATTGGAGACACCTTGATTAAAATGATCTGCAGTGGTAATAGCCCCAAAAAAGCTGATACCATAATCCAGTCTCCCAAACATTGCAGTAATCACCCACACACATATATATATATATATATAGACCCCCCAAGGTAATAGACTCCATAGCAGACCAAGATTTCCAATAGGTGGTATTCAGTATTAGGGTGCCATTTTCTGTCTTAAAGGGTGGTGACTATAGGGCAGGTTTTGGAGCCCGCAATTCATCCACTTCATCCCACACCTGTCCAATCTTTCCATGAGTCCATGGCTCCAATTTTCCCTCGAAAAGTGAGAATATCATTCCCCTATATCTAGATGGATTTACGCACAATCCACTAAACTGAAATGTTTGGCTCGGACAGTTACCCCAATCTCCTACAGATTTCCGAGATAGACCGAAGGGAAAATTCCGTAAGAATCACCGCACATCTTTCCGCAAACCAGCACCCGCGAAGCCCACACGGCACCTGCACCATGTACTCAGCCATTCCAGTGACGTCACAGGTATCACCTGCCAGTTGTTGGCAGTCCACCTGGTGCATCGCTGCGAAAAAAAACTGGGGGTTTTAGGCAAAAAAAACACATAGATTACCAGTAGATTCCCCAGTCATAGTGGATTAACCAATGGGAAAAATTAAAAACATCGTCTTCAGCGAATTCAGGCAAAGAAGCATGTGCATCTATAGATATGGCATGTGTACATTGCACATAGACTACAATATGGTTTTAGAATGTTTAGATATGCAAAAAATGTTGGAAGAACAGAAGGGTCACTTTGGGTAGGAATATTATTTTCCATGACTCATCATGGCCATACATATGGGCTCCATGTTAAATTTTGGGTATGGATATCAGATTTATAGATATTGGTTCTAGACTACTTGGACTGTGGTGTATAGCAAAATTTTGAGATATTTTAGATATTTTGGTCAAACTTTTCAGTGTCATCCCCATCAAGCAAAACAGATCAGAATAGTATATACACAATTTACGCTACACTTAAAAGTCGGTTTTTGTTCACCCAACAGTAGAATTATCCACCATAATAAGTCCTTCATGTACAGCCTAGTTGCAAACATTCTCTGTAGCAAACTGTTAAATCAACAGAGCTAGAGCAGGTCTTAACAATAGACGATCAACTCTTTTACCTTCTCTTGATCTGTAAGGCATGTGCAATCGACATCATTACTGGTTCCACCCTTACAGTCGCAATGGTCACCATCTTCTGCATGAAGTTCTCGTCAAACAACGCCGCGAAGTCATCTTTGGTTTGGTCACTCATCCTGACAGGGGACACTCTGGAGAACTTCCTTGACTTTCCCAAAAATCTGGAAGGTTCATTCTCGTACCCTCCGGTAATCAAATGTGGCAATGGAACATATCCCATTTATTTCATATCATGCGCTTTCCAACTAAAACCTTGGATTGCCCAGCTTGCCATGTTTACCAAAGGGTATATAAACCAATTCTCAGCCTAATGGGCATGTCAAAACGGCCCAACTTGGAGGATTCATGCGGTGCAAACCAGAGTTGTGAGTTGTGACCATATCTGCCTGTTTTATTTGTCCCGAATAAAGGGAGGGATAAACCAAAAAATCAACGCAAGAATCTGTTTGCTTTCCTTTAAAGCTCTAGATGTTAAATGCACAGACCATTATTCCGAACCCGTCTGAGATGTGTGAAAGTTGAAGGAGAAAACCGATGGCTTATAACCGCATTTTCCCCATTATTTCATAGCCATAAATTTAGGATATATAAATCCACCATGTTCAGACACACCCATGACCCATACTTGTTTCTTGTGTATCCATTGACATATCCTATAAAATCATCGCGTGAAAACATCTAATTATCGCCTGTCGGGGGCCTTTTTTTGGGTCAAAAGCCTGGTGAAATGATCCCCCAACGCTGCAGTCAGCTGTCATTCCCGCATGGAACTACGCCCCCCAGTCATAGCTTTACATCTCCCTCCGTTTGTATCATGTGTACACATCTGGTGGTTGAGCCCTACCCCTCTGAAAAATATGACTTCGTCAGTGGGGATGATGACATTCCCAATATATGGAAAAATAAAATTCATGTTCCACACCACCAACCAGCCATAAAGATGGATAAATATATGAAGTGATGGGGTAAAATACACATCCTTATTTTGGAGCTACAAAGCAGGGTCTAGGTCAAGCCATCCGTCCTCCCCTCATCGAATTCCACCGGCGCCGGGGTCTGCTGTCCAAATGCCTTATGGAAACACCAGGGTGACCTGGACCACTGCACTGGTGTTTTTCCGGGCCCGAAAATGTGGTGAACACTTATCCAACATGCTGATTTAAGCAACACACATACTGATTTAACCAACCAAATTAGAAATTGAACCAGGAAAAATGGTCTTTGACCAGCGAATTAGATACAAACACTGTGCTTTAAGCATGATTTAAAACGACTGGACTGTTTTTGTTTAGTCATCAACCATAGGATTTCATCAATTATGATCCGGATTTCACAGTCATTTCCACCGTCCATAGTGCCCAATTCCCATCTGAGTTTCCGGACCAGCAGGGGACCCAGGAGGCTACACCACAACATCATCGCCTCCTTCGCCCGTCGAAACTTCTTCTATCCATCGCGTCGCCGCGCCGCTCGGCCACAGGCACGGCCCTGTGATGGCGAACTTCCACCAAGTGTCCGGTGTCCAACTGTTGAGCTCTGTGGCTTTGTGGCAGTTCAGAGCAGTATGCAACCTATTATGGTCTATCAGTGAAAATATTTGGAGATGTTTTGTGCTGGATTTGAGGGTCTGGTGGGGTCCAGAATGATGTCAAGATGGATTCCCCTCGTCATGAAACATATTTTGCTAACATGTTCTAATTCGTGCGAGCCAGATGATGTTCCGCGACAATGTTTGCTTCAATTTGTTCATCAATCATCGTCGATCTTAACTGGTTGGCGGTTTGAACCTTCTGAAAAATATGAGTTCGTCAGTTGGGATGATTATTCGCAATATATGGAAAAATAATCCAAATGTTCCAAACCACCAACCAGTTAACATTGCTCCGCCACTTCAACATCGAAAAAGACAAACAGGCCAGCGGCCAGCCGGTAGTTCCAACGATCATCATGATAGTGGTATAGTTGAAACTAAACAACATTAAACAACAACTCCAACCACCAGTGGACCAACCATCAGGTCATTTCTCTCTTTTTTTTCCTCAGGACTTCAAGATCTGTTGAGATGGTAACCCTCAACAGCAAGCGACTCACTTTAGCTGCAGAGAGATCGGTGCTTCGGCTCCAGCCATCCCGGACGTTCAATGACTTTCAGGCGCCAGGCGGCTGGTGGCACACGGCCACTCATGAATTCAACTTCCAATTGCTGTCCTTTGGCAAGTACTTCCGATCTCCCTCTGGTACTGCATGAGGCCGATAGTACCAGATGATGTGGATACCCTTCCAGTCTTCGAACCAATTGAAGGCTTCCCTCCGTTTCCTTGGAATCTTGGACTTGAGCGACCAAAACTGCACATGCCAAACAAACTTCATAAAATGCACTCCCCGTAGCCTTTCGACTAGATCCTCATGAGTGGATCCAACCCAACTATAAAGTAGCAAAAAGTGGGATCCAGAATCATGCAACAAAACAGTTATATTTTTTTACATCAGGAAACGCATATTCATCAAATTCAATACAAGAATTTGTGCTCAAATCCAGGTGGCCCTGTTTGATCCAACAACTTGTCTGGATGGACCTTCACCCAAAGCCTCTTCAACAACTTCTCACGGGCCTCCGCGGAGAAGTCCTGCGATACGGCTTGGTGAAGCTCTTCTTCCACTTCCAAGCAGAGTTTCCTCATGGCCTCACAGAGGGCATACCAAAACATATAGCAGCAATACCATACGATACTTACCACATGGTTATGAGTCAAAACCCTGGCACCCTAGGTACCCTTCAAAATAGCTGGTGAATGGATATTTATTCCCCCCAAATATGGTAATTGGTTTGGACCCATCCCCACATGTTCCTCCTTGGAGTGTCTCATCCAGAAACTGTCCCTTTCAGATCCGCTCAAACAAAATTGTGTAAATGAATGTAAGTGATAAGATGATCAACCTCAGCCCATCTCAGCCCTGCCTCATCCAGCGGTTTCTGGGGGATTTGGAAGCCAACGAAGGGTGAGCGAGCCCTCACCTTGGAAGCCTTGGACACCATCGATTTGGGCATGCTGATGCTCCTTCGCCTGGGTGCCTCCTTCCCGCACCGCTCGTCCCATGCCTTCGTTCAGACACTGGGGGACCGGGCTTAAGGCGCCGGTTGCCCAATAAGCCACCCTTTTAAGCCATTCATGGTTGTTTCTGACCAACATGAGCAACTGGTTGTACACCTAATTCCCAATAAATGTCGGAATGATCTGGCAATATTATAATATATAGGAATGATACTTCTGTGGGCCCCTGTCCTTCAAGGCCTTGTTCTGAGCTTTTGATGGAGCGGAGGCGAGGGAGTCAACCTGGGCAGCCTCTGAGGTCGATTTGCTAGGCACTGAAGCAGGCGCAGAAGGCTCGGAAGGCTCGGAAGTCCTGTCTCCGGAGCTTTTCTGCACTTGGCTCAGAGCAGTCATAGCAGTCAGCTGACTTTCCAAGTCTTTCAGCTCTGAGCCAATCGCTGAGGTCGGCCGAGAGTTGGGGAGGTGACTCAGCTGGCCTTTCAGCCCTGCCAAAGACTTGGCGTGAGAATCCATGACATCCTGAAACTTCTGAAACCTGAGGTCATTTGATGCGATCAGGGCGGAGAAGTTGCGCATCCTTTGCTGCAAGCAGGCCACATCGTGCTCCAAGTCCTGGTGCTTCTGGGAAAGCTTGGAATCTTGCAGGCCCTGCTCAATCAACTGCAAGAAGTTACCGTGCCCAACCTTTTCATCAACATCATCTAGCTTGTTCTCCAGTGTCAGCAGGATACGCCTGTGATGCTTCAGGAAGGTCTCTGACTCCTCCATGCGACGAGATAAATCTGATATGTTCTTCTCAAACCTGCTCGACAAATCTGAGATGTTCTTCTCAAACCTGCTCTCCACATCTTTTAGGACCAAACCCATCTGGTCAAACATGTCGCAGGTCCACTGGTGTTTTGGCACCTCTTCGTGTTTCATCCAGCTGACGTGGGCCTTGACACTGTTGTCACCATGACTTGTCCTCGCCGTGGTCTTGGCTGGCAGCTGGAGCCGGGCGTCAAAGCCATGAATGTCTCCATCATCGTGAGCCACACTGGCGCCGTTCCAGCAGAACTCCCGATCCTGGCCCTCCTCCCACTGCACCCACTGGCCATCCTTGTCCTTGGACACACGGAGGTACTTGTACTTGATGTTCCTCCCAGGCGCCACCTGTAGCTGGACAGACCACCTCAACCTATCATACCTATCAGTGGGAGACATCACCAGGGCCTTGGTTTCCTTCCAAGCTCCCAGTTCTTCTGGCTCTCCAACCAAGCAGAGAAAGTCATCCTGCTGCATGCCCCGAACCCTGACCTGGAAAGTCACATGCCCCGGTGAAATCGGCTGAAATTGGCCAGGCACCGGCGAAGCCATCAGGATCCAGGGCTAAGAGTGACTCCAACTAGGGCCACCTGTACAATTATGAGGCTCCTAAAGGTCGACCGCAAACTTGATCCAACAGGGGCAGCATGGGCAGCGGACCAACCGGACCAACCGGACCAACCTCTCCAAAACCTCCAAAATCCTGGCATGGCCATGGCTCTTCCAAACCAGCTTGCTCCGTGGGCATATCACAGCACATGCCATGCCTCAACCTGGCACTCGGTAGCCATGGGTTGATGATACAACACATGTTCATCCACTGCAGCTAGCCTTTTTTGTTACATAAAAAAGTTATTTGCGGCACTGCTGGGTGGACCACTGATATCAAAAGCTTCAGCTGAGTGGTTCTTCATAGCCACTAGACCTAGATTCAACTACAGACCTTCCATCCATTGTTCCTTCATCCAGATCTTGTAACTTTCTAGTTGTGGTGGTCCCAGGTTCACGCAGCAAGAAGCGCACATCCTCATTCAGCACTTCTGGCTTTCCAGAGGCTGTACTGTTCGACCCCTTTTCGCCCCCACTGTACAAGGCCTGGGGCTCTCATTTGCTCAGGCACCTGGAGGTCATCGGTTTACTACCAAGCCACTGGATCTTGACGTAGAATGATTTCGAATGATGTCCCCATTTCTTGGTGGAATTAGGACGGTATTCACCAAAAGTCAAAAACCAACATCTCAGAATTTTGGCACCTGATTTCACTTCATCCCAGCGGTGTTTGTGATGTTTTGTGTAGAAAAAATAGGGGGCCGCACCCCAAACTGGATGGTTTTAACTGCAGTTGACCATCATTCTTCCATATTTCTCCTCTCAAATTTGCCATCACTTGGGGAAATAAGCTACCCATTTTTGGACAAACACATGTTTCATCGTTTCCGTGGGCGGAACGTCCTGCCTATCTGATGAGGATCGGCACCAAGATGATCAGAAGAATCTGAGTTGGCCAGCACTGAAGCACTGGACATCCATAGATTCAAAACGGACTTCAAAAAACGACAATACAAATACATGTATATGATAATCTAATATCATATATATATATATATGTATATATATAGAGAATGGTATCTGACATATTTATCTGGTATATGAGAATCTAATATTATCTATATAGAAGTTGCTATCAGGTATGACGTAAGTAAATGATACATGTTAGATCTGAAGCCACAGCACGGGTGTCAATATACTCCTAGCCATCTCTGCTGGGTGGAGTTAGTGGACGGTGCCTACCAGCAACCACTGGGTTGATCAAGATCGAGGGACAGATATATTCCTTTGAACAGGGCTTGCCGCAAGGGATGTGACTGGCTTGTTTCTGAAAAATGCAACCGCCTTCAGTTCCAGATGGTCAAGCCATGTCAATTCCAGCCGCCCAGCGGCTGAGCTTCAGGCAATTAGAATAGCAATGGACAGGCAGCACATCCACTTCCGCCCCTGATAGGTGGTGCCCTGGTGCCCATCCAATGGTGTCATAGCACCCCTGTGGATCCCATTCCAATGATGGATTCGTATTGACTTCAACAATGCACCCCTAAAAGTTTCTTGGGATATCAACGGTATATAGGATATTAGTGTTATATGTGGTATACCACGCTGTTATATGTTTGATTTCATGGGATATTAGGGAATGGTATGTAAATAAATAAATAGATAGATAGATAATTGAATTTATAAATAAATAATTAATATATACTTATGTGCATAAATATCACCCTCATCGGCAAAAGGTTGGTCACTGCTCTTTCCACCCCTCAGTTCCTACTCCATGGCTTCATGGGCGGATGAATCGGAAACGGCCTGCAGCATCAACTTCCGAGTTTTGATCAACTCCTCCGCGATCGATCGAAATGATGTGGTCAGCCCATGGGAATCCGTACAAGGTCCAACTTTTGACCATGCCATGTACACCCATTAAATCCATATGCATATAGAATATATGTATACATATATTGTGATTCTCAAATTAGCAGCTGATGATAACAATAATCCTCTCCATAAGCCATCATAACACCCATGAAACCAACAGTCTCGCTATCACTGGAGGTCCCAAGATACCAGCCTGTGGCCGTCAGACACGTGGCTCAGGCGAGCCCAGAGGTGGGCGGTGAGGGTTATCTTTCGTGTGTCTCCAGCCATAGTGGACTACATAGCGACGGGGTCGCTCAGTGGACGAGGCCGTCCAATCAGAAGCATCCAAAGGCATCCAATCCGAATCTCAGCTGGCAGTGGAGGAAAAGCTGAGCGCTTCAGGTGGAGCTGGTGTTTGCGACAGTGGAGCTACCCCACTTACATTGGTAGCGGAGCTGCATTTTGCAGCATCCAGGCGAAGACACCATGAGCGAGACTTCTGGTGGCGAAAAGAGTGATCAACAGATCACGAATCAGTTGGCATCCCTAGTGCCGAGTTTTGACCCAGCAAAGGATGACATGCAGACCTACAAGCAGAAGGTAGAGATAGTTCTGGGTGCGTGGCCCAAATCTCGCATCACAGAGCTTACAACGAGATTGATACTGAATACACAGGGATCTGCTTTTCAAACTTTGCAGTTGCATCATGCCGAACTCATGGTCAATGAGGAGAAATCAGTGACTCGCTTGGTGGAGTTGTTGGGGGGACAGTGGGGCCGCATAGGCCTTGAACAACAGTACCAGGATGTGGAGAACGCCCTTTACCATACAACACAGAGAGCTGATGAATCTCATGACTCCTTTTTGGCGAGGGCCGATGTTTTGTGGTCCAAAGCAGTGTCTAGGAAACTGTCATTGTCCGATCTACAGGCTTTTGTGACTCTTCGAGGGTCGCTTCTTTCACCAGAAGAAAAGAAGCGTGTGATCCTAGATGCCGATCAAAGTCTGGAAGGCAAACTGACAGTGCCTCGAGTCCGAGAGGCCATTAGGCTGTTGGGGGCAACGTTCTTTGCCGCCATGACTGGACAGAAGACCACAGCAAGAAACAAGGTTTATGATGCAACAACTATGCATGTGGAACATCAGGATGAGATCAATGCAGCTGATGGCATGATCGCCACAGAGGATGTTGGCACGGAGGAGGACTTTATCGAAGCTTTGGTAATGGAAGCTGAGGATGAGGACGCAGTACTGGTGGCCGACTTTGAGGCCTTAGCTGCTGACACGATTCAAGAAGACAGTGAACTGGCACAGGCCTTCAATGCCTACAGTGATGCCCGTCGTCGCCTTTCGGAGAAGTTTCGCAATCGAGGTTTCTGGCCAACATCCAAAGGTACCTCTCATGCAAAGGGGAAAGGATTTGGGGGCAAGTTCAGTGGTCAACGAGGCAAAGGAGGTTTCAATCCACCTCGTCAGCGTAGGTCACTGCAAGATCGTATCATGCAGAGCAACTGTCGAGCATGTGGCCGAAAGGGCCATTGGAAGGCGGAGTGCCCATTTAAATCCACGGCACCCTCCTCGACGAGCCAAGCTCCGTCGACAGCACCAACATCGACCATGATCATGGAACAGGACGCACTGCCTATGGAGTTCCTGAACTTGCCGCAGCTGTCCACTGAAGCCGCATGTCCGATCCCAGAGGAGCCCAATCCTGTTGACACCCACGATGGGGAACTATGTTTTTTTCTAAATGGGGTAGTTAATCAAGATAGCACTGCCAGAATGAGATTAAGGGATAGTCTGAAACATTACCGGGATAGGATTCATCATGAATCGGGGGTAAGTAATGAGACTCATGCCTTAAACAACAGCCGACACCGAATGAGATCCTGGATCCGCAGGAGTAAACGCCTGCTCAGCCCATGTGAGCCGCCGAGCCGTTTTCCCAATGCCTGCTCCTTGCGTCCAGGGAATGCCGATGAGAATGACAATCAACATCCAGTTGACATGTCTTGCAAAGCACCGATTCATGCACCGTATCAACCAGAAGCCCAGGTGTGTTTTGCTACCCATGGTACGATGGCAATCCTGGATTCCGGAGCTTCGAAGACTGTAGTAGGCAGCAATCAGTTGTCCAGCCTGCTCCAGAATTTTGACCCGTCACTGAGAAGTCAGCTCCGTCGAAGCCCATGCAGTATTACCTTCCGGTTTGGTAACCAGGGGACCCTTCAAAGTAAGGAAGCCTTAATAGTGCCCTTAGGTCAACTGCAGCTGCGAATAGCCATTGTACCAGGTGAGACCCCATTTCTACTGAGTAACACCCTTTTGAGAGCCCTGCAAGCCAAAGTAGACTGCGTGGGACATGTCCTCGAAAGCCCATTGCTTGCACAGCCAGTCCGTTTACAGTTGTCCTCAAAGGGTTTGTTCATGATTGATCTCAATGAACTGGCCACACAAGCATGCCGAGCGTTGCATGACCAGCGTGTTCCGAAGCGACACGCCTCGCCGACTGAGACTTTTGTGTCCGAAGGTCAGGAAAAGAATCCAGCCATAGCCGGATTCAACAGTCATGCCATGAACAGTCATGAAAAGGATGAACATCAGGTATCAGGATTAGAACAGGTTCACTTGCCAGTTCTTGCATCCGAGGTCCCAGGTATAAACCAGGCCAGTCCTTCCATGATTGCAGACAGAGTTCAGCCACGGACATCCGAACCACAGGAAGAGCCGGCAGAAATCCAGGTTCAAGAAACCACCACGACCGTCACTCAGACCGACGTTGACCGTGATCATGGCAATGTCCCACCTTGGCTCAAAGGCTGAATCGCCTTCAGACGCCAGTTCAGGTGGAAGTGGAGGATCTGAGTCACCTGAGCTTGGAAGAGCTCTCAGGGGAGACACTGAGCTTCGGACAGAAGCATGCGGGCAAAACCTTTGCCGAAGCATGGATGGACCAAGAGTGGGTGAAATTCATGGTCACCAAATACTCACAGAGTACCAAAAGTGCCCATCGCAGGTTCCTTCGGTACGTGGAGTTGAAGCTGGACCAGCACGAACAGCAACAGACTGGGATTCCAGTGATTCCAACCGACAGTGTGCCCGTGGAACCACTGCAACCCATGGCCAAGGCCAAGACAGCCGCCAAAGCCATGGCCAAAGGGATGGCATCCGGCGCACCAGTGTACCTCCCGACATGGAAGGAGAATGGGCTATGGAACCAGGC